GAAACCTGTGATTGTGGGTTCCAATCCCGGTTCGCCCCGATTATGTTCCTAGGTTTGTCAGCACCATATCCGTGGTCGTGGGTTTCACCGAAGTGGTAAACGTCTGAGACCTGCATCACTTCGGGCTTTCCTTCCACATTAAGCTGACACGCCGCGATATAACTGGAATACTGTTAAAAGCGGTGTGAAACCCAACTCACTCACTCTAAATACATATACCAATAGGAATATATATGTAAAGTCCCATGCTTTTATCATCATTGACCAATTCGCCTATGTTTCGTACTTATACCGCCTCATCATACCAGTTTGTGGTGAAAACTCAAACATCGAACAATTCAGGTCGTTATTAACAAATCATGTTGTTTGAGATTGTACGAGTGAGCGAGGCATAGGAGGAGCATATGTAGTGGATGGGTGTATTCACGCCCAGAAAATAACTTCCAGAGTGTTAATTACATGCGAGTATCCTGGTGAGACAGTTAACACAAATCGTGTAGTTTCCCTTGCATTACTGTTGGTTGGTTGGTTTGTGGTTTAACGCCGCACTCAGCAATATTTCAGCTATATGACCTTGCATTACTGGCTTTGAAGTTAGCAGAAATTCTGCTCTTGGATAGCACCGAATGTATTTTGCATTAAAATCAGTTGCATGTATACTTACACAAACCAGGGGATTAATTATCTTCTCCTTTATACTGTTATGGTTTGTTTGTTGTTTTACGCCGCACTAAGCAATATTCCAACTGTATGACGGCGGTCTGTTAATAATCCAGTGATTGACATTATGAGCATCGATCCACGCAATTGGGATACGATAACATGCATCAGCCAAATCAGCGAGCCTGACCACCCGATCCCGTTAGTCGCCCCTTACGACAAGCATCGTCGCCTTTTACGGATAGCATGGGTTGCTGAAGACCTATTCTACCCCGTATCTTCACGGGTCTCTCCTTCATACTGAACCTGCTATACTGCAGAGATTCACTTTAAAAAATACACTTTGTTGCGGTAAGAAACACGTTGAACATAATTACTATTGGATTAAAATACATGTATTGACATTTTCAGTCGTGTTTCCGAGATGTTTGTAATTTCATCAATAATGGCTGAACGGAAGCATCATGAACGAGGAGAACCCATGGCCCTCTACAGCCAAGGCAACTACCAACTGAAACCATGCTTCTCAGGCTTAAAATTGTCTTATGCCTGCTGGACATCAAAAAGCCTGCAGGGTAAGACAGACATTTTCGAAAGTTCCTGCAAGGCCCCAGATGTCAACAAAGCAATACTGTTTCGTTGGATGGTCGCCTCAACATTCCAAAGACACCACAGACAGCCAAGAAAGCCAGAACAACGAAAGAGGATTAACACCGCAAAGACGTTCACTCTAGGAAAGTAGTATTTCCAAAAAAACTCATGTACTGTCGGAAATTAAGTTAGTGAGTTAGATATGATGAACACTGATTATGTATTATTGATTATCTTATATATTGTAAAAAAGTAATGATTACTGTAACTTACGCAGGTTAGAGTGAGTAAATGAGTGGGTGAGTTGGGTTAAACGCCGCTTTTAACAGTATTCCAGTCATATCGCGGCGTGTCAGCTTGATGTGGGAGGAAAGCCCGAAGTGATGCAGGTTTCAGAGGTTTACCACTTCGGTGAAACCCACGAACACGGGTATGATGCTGACAAACCTAGAAACATAATTGGGGCGAACCGGGATTCGAACCCACAATCATAGGTTTCTGGCGTGCCCAAAGGACGCAACTCTGCACGGCGAATCGTGGTGCCTTATAGACGAATGGGCCACCCGTGTCCCCTACGCAGGTTAGAACAGATCTTCAGCAACCCATGCTTGTCGTAAGTGGCTACTATGATTGTGGTAAGAGGCGACTAACGGGATAGGGTGGTCAGGCTCGCTGACTTGGTTGATGCATGTTATCGATATCTCAATTGCGTAGTTTGATGCTCATGATGTCAATGACTGTCTGGTCCAGACATGATTATTTACAACCGCCGCCATATAGCTGAAATACTGCTGTGGGTGGCGTTTAACAAACAAACAAAACTTAACATACGCCCCGTGAAGACCCGGGTTAGAATTAGTCTTCACAAACCCATGCTTGTGGTAAGAGGCGACTATGTTTGTAAGGGGCGACTAACAGGATCGGGTGGTCAGGTTCGCTGACTTGGTTGATTGGATTATCCGGTATTGACTCCATTATTTACAGACGGCCGTCATATAGCTGGATTATTGCTAAGTGTGGCGCTACACAACAAACAAAGAAACATTTTTTTAAACAAATTTGTCTGTAAGTACCATGAGGTCCGCTTTGTTGGATAAAAAAAACCTTCATGGCCTATTAAATATTTTTTACCTTGTTACTTGTACTTATTTATTTATTTTTTTTTTGCTGTTTTTTCTATTTATTTTTACGCCAGTTGATATTCCCACGATGTTTCCAAACTGAGAAAGACATGTTCTATTGACTGACTGCACTTTATTATAAACCTCCGATGTCTGATGAAACCTCCTGGACGTTTCCGGACGTTTCCGGACGCCCCCGGATGTTCAATAGCAGGACCCGACTGTACACGTTTTGCAAATCCAGCAGTCGACCGAAATCTGCGCGTTGAAATGCATTTTGTTTACGAACAGGATGTCCAGTTCGTTACGCGATTTTGATTGGACTATGCTTCGACTCGTTAGTCCAGCCAAAGTGGAACTCCGGAATTCCGGCATAGTTCGGCAGGGGTGGAAACAGTTAACGCCCTTGCCTCCGGAAGGTTGGGTTTCTAAAGACGCTGATTTGGTATTTCATTTATATTAAGAGATGTCAGACTCGAGTCAGAGCTATGCCAGTGATATAGGTATTATACTTTCAGCACTTTAGTGATACCCACAAGCAAGGGTATGGTGCTGACAGTCCAAGAAACAGCTCAGGCAAACTGCTCGGGCTCAGGCAACATCTCAGTTGACACAGTTGACACAGTGAGTATGGTTTTACGCAGCTTTTAGCAATATTCCAGCAATATCAGGGCAGGGAACACCAGAAATGGCCTTCACACATTGTACCCATGTCAGGATTCAAACCTGGGTCTTCGACGTGATGACCGAACGCTTTAACCACTAGGCTACCCAACCGCCCCTAACTCATAAATAAAGGGGGAAATATAAGTGAACACAAATTATGAGTAGGAAGTTTACTGCTGCATTTGAATATAGATTCATCATATCAACAAAAGAATATAGAAAAATGTAAACCACCACATAAGAAAAACAAGAGGGAATAAATCCATTTGATATCCATCACACCACTGGCATTCGTCATCATTATAATACATAACATACTTTCATATATAAACAAGGAATAATATTGTGTCAAACAAATACTTCCCTTTAACACTTTTCCCTTCTTATATGCTATCAGGAAACCTACCCACAGTGTAAATAGACATTCTACCATGAAAAGGGAAATTACTCCATTCTAATTGAACAGTAAGCAGTGTTAAATCACAATGGCTATCTCTGATTAAAACAGTTGACTGGACGGCAGCATTCCCACAGACGCTAATGTTTTTAGAAAAGTATTTCATCAGTCAATGTGGATAGACATTTTGAAATCACAATATGGTTTGTTTCTTGTTTAACAGCACACTCAGCAATATTCCAGCTATATGACGGCGGTCTGTAAATAATCGAGTCTGGACCAGACAATCAAGTGATCAATATCATGAGCATTGATCCATGCAATTGGGATCGATGACATGCATCAACCGAGTCAGCGAGTCGACCACCAAATCCCATTAGTCGCCTCTTACAACAAACAGTTCCCTTTTATGGTAAGCATGGGTTGCTGAAGACCTATTCTACCCCGGATCTTCACAGGTCTCACAATAAATCATAGGTCATCAAATGCAGATTTGAGGTCACTGCAATATTCAAGCATGTATGGCAATTCAGTTTGGGCAGAAAAAACAATAGAAATCGACTAAGAGTGTGTATTTCGAGTACTGGCAACAAAAATAGCTTGAAATTTGACACTTTTCTGTTGTTGACTGTGATGTCATATCTTTTGCATCACAACAGTATGACTTCATGGTGACATGCAGAGTAGAATTAAATCCCTGCAAGGCTAGCTTACTCTTCCTTAAGTGAGTGAGTGAGTGAGTATGGTTTAATGTCGCTTTTAGCAATATTCCAGCAATATCACGGCGGGGGACACCAGAAATGGGCTTCACACATTGTGCCCATGTCGAGAATCGAACCCGGGTCTTCGGCGTGACGAGCGAACGCTTTAACCACTGGGCTACCCTACTGCCCCACTCTTCCTTAAGAGTGGCCACTTTATGTTGGCTAATGAAGTAGCTGGGTAACACACATTCAAGGCATGCCTTAAAAGTAAAAACGCAATAGTCAAGGCTATTATTGGTGTTTTGTTAATTCAGATCGACAACCTATTAAAACCATTGGACTGAACCTATGCCACTCAGTATCTTTGTTAACACCAAAACGTTTGTGTTTAATTAAGTCATGGTAGAAAGGAGTGAGTGAGTGAGTTGGGTTCAACACTGCGTTTTACAGTTTTCCAGCTACATCAGAGTGCGTCAGAGTAATGTGGGAGGAAAGCCGGAAGTGACGCAGGACTTAGATGTTTACAACTTTTATGAAACCCTTGAGTACAGGTATGGTCCTGACCAATCTCATATAAATCAGATCTTAGTTCTCGCTACCGCTAAACAAAGATCTGAGGACACCCCATTACGGGTCACATCAGACCGACCTTTCGCGAACTTTGAACGACTAATGGAATGAATATTCTGGAATGGCTAAAAGATGGAATGTATGGATTCAGTCGTTAAGCCTGTAACTATCGTTCGGAATAACCCGTGTTAATGTTTTGTCGGTCACATTCCGACTGTCACTTTCATGATCTGGTAGGCGACGCTCTGATTGATCGGATGAAAGGTCGTTCTGACGTGACCAATAATGGGATGTCCTCAGATCTTTGTTCAGCGGTAGCGAGAACTAAGATTGATTTTAATTACATTGGGTCCTGACAAACCTAGAAACATAACCAGGGTTCGAACCCAGGATCATAGATTTCTGGCGTGCCCAAGATGACTGAGCCACCCTTGTCCCCTAGAAAAGAGATAAACACACTGTGCATTCGACTCCAATTTAGCATGGTTAAAAGTAACCTTATAATACCTCCATGTCAGAATGATGAGATCTGATTGGTCCACAAGATCTTGATAAAATTTAATGTATCCCGCCTTGATGGGAAATAAATTTCTCAGTGGGTGAATCAATCCCTAATACCCCCCCATGAACAAGTCAGGCTGCTGCAGATTACTGAGAGGCAGAATAAATCCCTTACATCCCGCTTTGAAGCAAAAAGCTGCATGCTTTTTCAGAGTCAATGAAAGTCAATGACAGCACAAGTTACCCTCAGCTCAATGGAACAGCTGTTTTCTATCAATTTTAAATTTGTTTTGATTCTTTTACTATGTCATATTAAAACATGTCTGTAAGAAACATTTGTTGCAGCAGTATCACCTGGGATGCATAGGGTTTTATGAGTCCCTCGGGGACGCATAAAACCCCATGTACCCCTCGTGATCCTGCTACAACTTATATTGCACCATAATGAAAAGACTGGAGTATGTTGATATCCTGCATGAAAACAACAGATCAGACAAACAGTATAGTCAGTGAGTAAAACAACAAATGGAATGAGTAAATATGTAAAAAGTTTATTCAGCTGGATTTTTCTTCATTTTTTTTATTTTTTCTCTTGTCAAATTGTTCTTTGACAAATGCTATAAGTTTCTTTTCAGAAACATACATAACTAAAAGTACCGCCAGTAAACACACACCACCAATACCAACGTGGAGAATTCTTCTTAAAATGCCTTTGTCACAGCAGAGAAGTTTCTGAAATCAATAACATAGCAACAACTGAAAAATTCAACAAAAAAGTCAAGATAAGATTGTACAAGATAAGAAATTGCTATTGAATGATTCATTTAACAATCATACAAACCTCCAATAGACTGAAATTTGATTCACAAGGAATCATTCATTCATTCATATAACCAATTTCATGTCTGTAGACTCTTGGGCCTTAAGGATGGTGTGTTATGCCTCAGTTACATTTGCCGTGGCAGCCGTGGGGTCTAAAATATCTACGGCCAATAGCAATTATAGGGTCACCGTAGGATTCCCACAGTCATATACTGTAGCAGTTACATATGTTAGGGTAGCCGCACGGTGTATTTTGAATTTGCGGAGACGGAAAACCTGTGGCTGTGTGTCTAATTGTCTAATTGCTACAGCGGACCTAGAAATTAAAAAAGTTATAACTCTGAGCTACAATCCCACGGTGACCCCTGTAAAATATAGGGATATGCCCTAGGGCGACCCTGTGGCCACCGCAGATCCTCTCAATTTTGGGGGGGCTATGGCCGCCGTAGCCTAGCCGTAGAGCAAATGTGACTGAGCAATTAGCATAGTGGTTAGAGAGTTTGTTCACCACGCCAAAGGCACGGGTTTGATTTACTACATGGTACAACGTGTGAAATCTACAGGCACTCACTCACTTACTCTCGTGCTTTAAAAGATGGCAATGGTGCAACCATACTAAAGAAGTTACAAACAATTGATGAGGAAAGAATTAATTAACATAAATGAGAATGTGTAACTGGGGTCACTTTTTTCCTTTTGAGTTCTACCTCATCTATTCATAATACCGTATTTCCTCTATTAGACACCCACGCGTGTATCAAATTCGTGCAAGCTGTTGACTTGGCATCTGTTAAAGGTGTGGCATATATTCTGTTTAATGCTGGTGCAGTGGAAACACAATCCTACAAAAATCCAAATCTCTACTTTCATACAAAGGGTACATGAGGGAGTAATCATAACATGCCGTAAGATATTGTGATAGGAATCATTAATTTCATCAAATGATGGACACAGCTTTTTTAACAGAGTGTAAGACCTGGTGTCAATTAGCATGATTAGAGACCAAAGTGTAAATGAGGCCCGGAGTCAAATAGATGAGATGAGGTGAAATGGTGTTCAACGTCACGTCCAAGATTATTGCACTTATACAGCGATCTGCATGCACGTGTGTGTGCAGCTGCTTGTGCTTGTCCCAACTGATGCTGATTTATAGTGCTAGCTCACTGAGATACCATGCTGCAGTTTAACATGAATACCCCACTCAGACACAGTATACTGACTCAGAGCCGACCAGTCCTTGTTTTAGCCCCTTAATGCCAAGCACCAGGTAGGGAAAGAAGTACCATCTTTTAACGTCTTTTGGTATGACGCAGCTGGGGATCAAACCCCGGACCTTCTGCTCTCTGGGCGGACCCTCTACCACTAGACCACAGAGGCAGTCTTAGAATAGATGAAATACGGTAAGTACTGAAATAGTTCCTTAATGCCATGTAGAATATATCCATGGTAAGAAATCAAATATCAACCTCTCATGCAAAAAATGCGAAGAAAAACTAAATAGAAATTCCAAGAAAACCTGTAAGCTGTTCTGTTTCCTTGAGTTCTTCAATTATGAATTCATTAAGTGTACATTGCATGAAATTCAATCGTGTTTCAGTTAAACATTCTGTTACAAAATCTCTTCTTTTTTTTAAGCTTTTGAATATTTCAATATCAACATGACTGATATAAGTTTAATCTCAAATTCAACCTTTCATTCCTGTAATTCATTCCTTATACAGATGTTTCCAAAAAGACATCTCATCTCACTTCCCAACTTCTTCATGATACTGATGAATTTGCTTCAGATACTGCATACCATTCTTTGTCAAAATAGATTCAGAATATTTATCAAAGGCATATAACAAAAACAAACATGGTAAAGATAGCATGAATGTTTTGTATAAAACTGCCTTTATTGCTTGATGAGGGTGTGGTGAGGTGTAAAAGACTTGTTGTTACCCTGCCTGGTGCTTGGCATTCAGGGGCTAAAACAAGGACTGGTCGGCTCAGAGTCAGTATACTTTGTCTGAGTGGGGTATTCATGTTAAACTGCGGCATCTCAGTGGACTAGTACTATAAAATCGGCATTAGTTCAGACTAGCACAAACAGCCACACACAGATTGGGTTATTTACAGACTGCCGCCATATAGCTGGAATATTGCTGAGTGCGGTGTTAAACAACAAACAAACAAACACTGGATTGTCTGGTCCAGATTTGGTTATTTACAGACCGCCGCCATATAGCTGGAATACCGGGGTATTGCTGATTGTGGTGTTAAACAACAAACAAACAAACAAACAAACAAACAAACAAACAAAAAGTTCATCACCTCTGATGTGTACATGATGAGACTGACCACCCCAAGGCTGACCAGCACCAGTGGGGAAGGGAGGCCTTCTCTCAGGGGCAGGGCAGAACTCTGGCGGTAATACCCTCGGATGAAAGACACACTGGAAATATAATATGTCAAATTTGAAGAGAAACATTAAATGTTCTTTCTGTGTAATGAGTAATGGTTCAGTCATACCTTATATCTGTGTTAACTGACCTCTTGTCATAACTGGCAATATCAGATTTATTCCCAGGGCTACCTGTATATATTTCCATTGAAAACTTTGGTGTCAAGCACATTCCTGCTACAAGATATTAAATATACTTGTATGTTTCAGGTATTGTACCATGATAAACAGTGAGTGAGTGAGTGAGTGAGTGAGTGAGTGAGTTTTTCAGTTATGTCAAGAAATGTCGGCTTGAGGTTGGGGAAAGCCCATGTCAATTTCTGCAACCTATGCCTTAACATTCTGTTTGGGTGAGAGTGATCCTGAGAATCGAACTCGCTGTCACTGTGAAATATTTTGACTGTTTTTGTTCGTTTGTTGTTTAACATCGCACTCAGCAATATTCCAGCTATACGACGACGGTCTGTAAAGAATCGAGTCTGGACAAGACAATCCAGTAATTGACATCATGAACATTGATCCACGTAATTGGGATACGATGACATGCATCAACCAAGTCAGCAAGACTGACATCCCGTTAGTCGCCTCTTACGATAAGCATGCCTTTGGGGTGCTGAAGACCAATTCTACCAGTGATGTTCACGGGTCTATTTTGACTGTGACTGACACTGTTTGGTGATTGACACTGTGATGCGACAAACACTATTGTGACTGACACTGACTCTGACTGACACTGTGATGCGACAAACACTGTTGTGACTGACACTGACTCTGACGACACTGTGTATGCTGTACTCACCTGTGTAGGATCCGGACAAGCATGTTAAAGCAGTTGGCAAGGATGAAGCCGACGCTGCCCAGGTACTTTGTCAGGAGCCATGAGGAAAGGAGAAAAACTCCAGAAAAAATAAACATCTTCCTGTTGTACCTTAAAAAAAACAAAAAACCAGTAAGACACAATGTAAATATATGTCGGTCTTATCTTACTTTAATAGGCATGTTCACGCTTCCTAACAATGTCCATATTTGAAGATGGGTGAATCAATATAACTCACAAAACACCCAATGACTCTCACATATTAGATAGCTTCAGATGTGTGGACACAGAATCATCTGGATAGTACAATAATAATAATAATAATAATAATAATAATAATATATAAAATAAAATTTAAAAAATAATAATAATAAAAGGCTACTGACATAGCACAAGACTCCACACTCCATTCTCCAAAGATTGTGACATTATAACCCCATTCAACAGATCTCATTTGCTTTCTCAGCTCCCTGGGGAGTATACAATCCAGGCTGCCTGTAACATGCAAGGACATTTGCAACCCCAAGGCAAGTGGCAAGTTTTGGACAGGGACACGCCACATCATCAGACAGACACCATGTGGGCATTCTTGTTCAAGACTAGGTCCCCTGGAACCTATGGGGATCATTAGGGCTGGGATGAGTCCAAATTTACTACCCGGGTACCCACCCAGCTATTACCTGACCCTACCCGGGTACCTGCTATAGGTCTTAAGAATTGGGTACAAAATATCCGATTGGGAATAGTTTGACAGTAGCCCTGGCAAAGTGTATTTAGATACACAATTATAACGATCTGGTGACTGAAGGTGACTGAAGGTGACTGAAGTTTTATCTTTATTCAAATCAGTGAAAGTCATAAGGAATGGGTGCATAATCAGAAAGAAATGCGAACATTACTGACTTGTAATGTAACCATAGAGTTCCAGATAATTTTTGTCATTAGCCAATATATCAAGTGACTAACCAGGGGTCAGAGTAGTCCTGTGGGTACCCGGGTCCTTCTCAGGACACACCTGACCCAAGTACCCAAGTTACCCGTCCCAGCCCAAGTGGTCATTAGAGCTGACTTGATGGATTGGGCAGTCCATTTTGGTGACTTGGTTTATTGCATGTCATCGTACACGATGGGATTAGTCACGTCTCATAAAATCACTGGATGGTGTGGTCCAGTTATTTACAGGTCGCCATCATATAGCTCGAATATTGCCAGAAAGCAACGTTAAACAACAAACAATCAGATGGCTTCATACATGCTGTGACTTGCACTACTTGTTAAAGAAATGACATTTGGCAAAACTAAATACTGTCATTCACCTCGCAATCATCTTAACTATCATCCCAATATAAGGCAATCATTAGAAATGAAAATTCAAAATACTTTGTGTTGAGCATCATCGATAAATATTTTTCAGCCTTACATAAAAAATTAATAAACTTTAAGTGTTGTAACATCTACCTGTCAACATCTTCCTTGCTCATGGTTGCAAAGACGAACCCCTCTGTGATGCCGTTGATGGCGATGAAGAGAACATACAGACAGTACCATCGCAGGAGAGAGGGCCCTGGGAAACACATGTACATGGTGAGTGAGTGAGTGAGTTGATGGTGATGAAGACAACATGCAGACAGTACCATCACAGGAGAGAGAGCCCTCGGAAACATGTACATGATGAGAGGGTGAGTGAGTGAGTTGATCGTGATGAAGACAACATGCAGACAGTACCATCACAGGAGAGAGGGCCCTGGGAAACATGTACATGGTGAGTGAGTGAGTGAGTTGATGGTGATGAAGACAACATACAGACAGTACCACCGCAGGAGAGAGGGCCCTGGGAAACATGTACATGGTGAGTGAGTGAGTGAGTTGATGGTGATGAAGACAACATACAGACAGTACCATCACAGGAGAGAGGGCCCTGGGAAACATGTACATGGTGAGTGAGTGAGTGAGTTGATGGTGATGAAGACAACATGCAGACAGTACCATCACAGGAGAGAGGGCCCTCGGAAACATGTACATGGTGAGTAAGTGAGTTGATGGTGATGAAGAGAACATACAGACAGTACCACCGCAGGAGAGAGGGCCCTCGGAAACATGTACATGGTGAGTGAGTGAGTGAGTTGATGGTGATGAAGAGAAAAATTCAGACAGTACCATCACAGGAGAGAGGGCCCTCGGAAACATGTACATGATGAGTGAGTGAGTGAGTTGATGGTGATGAAGAGAACATATAGACAGTACCACCGCAGGAGAAAGGGCCCTCGGGAAACATGTACATGGTGAGTGAGTGAGTTGATGGTGATGAAGACAACATATAGACAGTACCACCGCAGGAGAGAGGGCCCTGGGAAACACATGTACATGGTGAGTGAGTGAGTTGATGGTGATGAAGACAACATGCAGACAGTACCACCGCAGGAGAGAGGGCCCTGGGAAACATGTACATGGTGAGTGAGTGAGTTGATGGTGATGAAGACAACATATAGACAGTACCACCGCAGGAGAGAGGGCCCTGGGAAACATGTACATGGTGAGTGAGTGAGTTGATGGTGATGAAGACAACATATAGACAGTACCACCGCAGGAGAGAGGGCCCTGGGAAACATGTACATGGTGAGTGAGTGAGTGAGTTGATGGTGATGAAGACAACATACAGACAGTACCACCGCAGGAGAGAGGGCCCTGGGAAACATGTACATGGTGAGTGAGTGAGTGAGTTGATGGTGATGAAGACAACATACAGACAGTACCATCACAGGAGAGAGGGCCCTGGGAGACATGTACATGGTGAGTGAGTGAGTGAGTTGATGGTGATGAAGTGAACATACAGACAGTACCACCGCAGGAGAGAGGGCCCTCGGAAACATGTACATGGTGAGTGAGTGAGTGAGTTGATGGTGATGAAGACAACATGCAGACAGTACCATCACAGGAGAGAGGGCCCTCGGAAACATGTACATGGTGAGTAAGTGAGTTGATGGTGATGAAGAGAACATACAGACAGTACCACCGCAGGAGAGAGGGCCCTCGGAAACATGTACATGGTGAGTGAGTGAGTGAGTTGATGGTGATGAAGAGAAAAATTCAGACAGTACCATCACAGGAGAGAGGGCCCTCGGAAACATGTACATGATGAGTGAGTGAGTGAGTTGATGGTGATGAAGAGAACATATAGACAGTACCACCGCAGGAGAAAGGGCCCTCGGGAAACATGTACATGGTGAGTGAGTGAGTTGATGGTGATGAAGACAACATATAGACAGTACCAACGCAGGAGAGAGGGCCCTGGGAAACACATGTACATGGTGAGTGAGTGAGTGAGTTGATGGTGATGAAGAGAACATATAGACAGTACCATCGCAGGAGAGAGGGCCATGGGAAACGTACATGGTGAGTGAGTGAGTGAGTTGATGGTGATGAAGAGAACATACAGACAGTACCACCGCAGGAGAGAGGGCCCTGGGAAACATGTACATGGTGAGTGAGTGAGTGAGTTGATGGTGATGAAGACAACATGCAGACAGTACCATCACAGGAGAGAGAGCCCTCGGAAACATGTACATGATGAGAGGGTGAGTGAGTGAGTTGATGGTGATGAAGACAACATGCAGACAGTACCATCACAGGAGAGAGGGCCCTGGGAAACATGTACATGGTGAGTGAGTGAGTGAGTTGATGGTGATGAAGACAACATACAGACAGTACCACCGCAGGAGAGAGGGCCCTGGGAAACATGTACATGGTGAGTGAGTGAGTGAGTTGATGGTGATGAAGACAACATACAGACAGTACCATCACAGGAGAGAGGGCCCTGGGAAACATGTACATGGTGAGTGAGTGAGTGAGTTGATGGTGATGAAGACAACATGCAGACAGTACCATCACAGGAGAGAGGGCCCTCGGAAACATGTACATGGTGAGTAAGTGAGTTGATGGTGATGAAGAGAACATACAGACAGTACCACCGCAGGAGAGAGGGCCCTCGGAAACATGTACATGGTGAGTGAGTGAGTGAGTTGATGGTGATGAAGAGAAAAATTCAGACAGTACCATCACAGGAGAGAGGGCCCTCGGAAACATGTACATGATGAGTGAGTGAGTGAGTTGATGGTGATGAAGAGAACATATAGACAGTACCACCGCAGGAGAAAGGGCCCTCGGGAAACATGTACATGGTGAGTGAGTGAGTTGATGGTGATGAAGACAACATATAGACAGTACCACCGCAGGAGAGAGGGCCCTGGGAAACACATGTACATGGTGAGTGAGTGAGTTGATGGTGATGAAGACAACATGCAGACAGTACCACCGCAGGAGAGAGGGCCCTGGGAAACATGTACATGGTGAGTGAGTGAGTTGATGGTGATGAAGACAACATATAGACAGTACCACCGCAGGAGAGAGGGCCCTGGGAAACATGTACATGGTGAGTGAGTGAGTGAGTTGATGGTGATGAAGACAACATACAGACAGTACCATCACAGGAGAGAGGGCCCTGGGAAACATGTACATGGTGAGTGAGTGAGTGAGTTGATGGTGATGAAGACAACATACAGACAGTACCATCACAGGAGAGAGGGCCCTGGGAGACATGTACATGGTGAGTGAGTGAGTGAGTTGATGGTGATGAAGTGAACATTCAGACAGTACCATCACAGGAGAGAGGGCCCTCGGAAACATGTACATGGTGAGTGAGTGAGTGAGTTGATGGTGATGAAGACAACATGCAGACAGTACCATCACAGGAGAGAGGGCCCTCGGAAACATGTACATGGTGAGTAAGTGAGTTGATGGTGATGAAGAGAACATACAGACAGTACCACCGCAGGAGAGAGGGCCCTCGGAAACATGTACATGGTGAGTGACTGAGTGAGTTGATGGTGATGAAGAGAAAAATTCAGACAGTACCATCACAGGAGAGAGGGCCCTCGGAAACATGTACATGATGAGTGAGTGAGTGAGTTGATGGTGATGAAGAGAACATATAGACAGTACCACCGCAGGAGAGAGGGCCCTCGGGAAACATGTACATGGTGAGTGAGTGAGTTGATGGTGATGAAGACAACATATAGACAGTACCAACGCAGGAGAGAGGGCCCTGGGAAACACATGTACATGGTGAGTGAGTGAGTGAGTTGATGGTGATGAAGAGAACATATAGACAGTACCATCGCAGGAGAGAGGGCCATGGGAAACGTACATGGTGAGTGAGTGAGTGAGTGAGTTGATGGTGATGAAGAGAACATACAGACAGTACCACCGCAGGAGAGAGGGCCCTGGGAAACATGTACATGGTGAGTGAGTGAGTGAGTTGATGGTGATGAAGACAACATACAGACAGTACCATCACAGGAGAGAGGGCCCTGGGAAACATGTACATGGTGAGTGAGTGAGTGAGTTGATGGTGATGAAGACAACATACAGACAGTACCATCACAGGAGAGAGGGCCCTGGGAGACATGTACATGGTGAGTGAGTGAGTGAGTTGATGGTGATGAAGACAACATACAGACAGTACCATCACAGGAGAGAGGGCCCTGGGAAACATGTACATGGTGAGTGAGTGAGTGAGTTGATGGTGATGAAGAGAACATACAGACAGTACCACCGCAAGTAAATGAGGATTTAATACATGTAAGGTCAGCAATTATCAATATTTAGAAAGAAAACGGGTCGAGTATTGGATAGGAATTTAGAAGTTGAAAGAACATGAATACACAACCTTTTTTTAAAGGTGATTATCTAATAAATAATTCATAATAAAAAAGCCATGATATCGCTGTTGGAAAATTTTAGGGCAATTAAAGACATAAAAATCGGTTATTTGTCAAAACTTCAGTTCTATTAGAACAATCAAGATAAAATATCATCTCATTTTTCTGGAAAACTGGATGATTATTCAATAATTGATTCATGTAACAATTCATAGATTTGAAAGGTGCATTCGACTGTATAGGAATGGCATACTCTTTAAATTGTGGAAAGGAGGTAACAATGGTCAGATAAATCCGTAATATACATATGGATCTGTAAAGATCTGTATTTCTCTACAAGGTGGATATACACAGTTCTTCCAGTGCTACTCTGGTGTTAGAAAGGGATGCCAATTGTCGCCTTTTTTGTTCTCACGTTTCATCGATGTGGAATTCATTCATTGTGAGGGAACTCATGGCCATGATGGTGTAACTTTAAGTCCATTGGCATTATTTATTTTATTGTTTGCAGATAACATAATCTTGTTAAATGTTACAGTTGATGGTCACCAAAAATGTCTTGACCAACTCTCTTTATTTTTTTATAAATGGAAGCGAAGAGATTGTATTCAGGAATGGAGGCAAAGTTAGATATTTTGAACCGTTTAGGACTTGAGATTCTGCCATTGACATATTCCCCAGCTATAAATATCCAGGTGTGCAGTTATCATCCTCTGGTTCTTGGTATCTTGCTCAAACGACTAAGGCACAACAGGCATGAAAAGTACAGTAAAATATGGTTATAACGAACTCAAAGGGACCACTAACTTTAGTTTGTTATAATCGTAGTTCGTTTTAAGCATATACACAGTATAACAATAGCAAATAGTCGGGACAAAAATCAGTTTGTTATATCCGTCAGTTCGTTATAAGCGTGTTCGTTAAAAACGTACTTTACTGTAGTTCGAAAACTACAGTCAACACTGGAAAAGTCTCTACAATCCCAGCAAGTGTCTCTTTTCAATTTTTTTATATAAAAGTATTGCTAATTTTAAATTACAGATTTCATCCTTCACCTCATATTGAAAATTAGAAATAGTCGATAGAAATGTGAACTTGGGCAGTTGTATATATAGTCAAACATGTACAGCTTTTAGAAAATACTACATGTTAGTTTCTGAAAAATATGTACATAGGAAAAAATCGCTGTCAAAAACAGAACATTTTGCACAATTTTTTCACATTTTTCTCCGAATTTGACCGTTTATTATTTTTCTCATGACATTTTTTTCATGTCATACAATAACTAGTATGATTATCAAAGACTCTACGTAATTTTGTTTTATTATTTTCACAAATAACATTTGTAGAGACATTTATGTGCAACATGCAGAAATCCATGGTTCACTGACAGACCGTCACGCATGCGAGTGAGCCCTCTCAGGTGGTCACTTGTACGCGTGACGGGAGAGCCGTCTCGCGTACACGTTACGTCCTCTACTGGTGTACAGGCCTACATGGTCCAGGTGGGGAGTTATATATATATCAAACTGGGCACAATGTGTGAAAACCCATTTCTGGTTTCACCACTGTAATATTGTTAGAATATTGTTAAAAGGGGTGTAAAACCAAACTCTCTCAGTCACAAAATATGAAACATTATTCTTCAATACAGTAAATTCCAATCCATTGAGTGTATTTTTGGGGGAAACATAGGGTAAATGTTGACCCCGATAATGAACCCTTACAAAATAATCCAAATCTGAATGTCTTGCAATAACAACAAGGACAGATGTCACCAGAGCGCCAGCTTACCTGCCCCCGAGCTGAGAATACTTCCTCCGTAGAGATCCAATGCCAGGAAGGAATATGATTGGCCAAACACCAGGATAGTTAGACCAATGAGAGTGACAGTCTTCAACACATAGGCCAGCACCTGGCTACACAGCAGTGCAGAGTCCTGCAAAACATTATGAGCAGGATGTAGCAGTGATCTGTATCACCTGTGGAGATGCATCTTTATCTTTTACTGTGACATCAATAGTGTCCATCCTCATCTTCATCAGTAACATCTTTAGTGGTCGATCTGACAGCCTCTGTGGCCTAGTGGCCAGGGCCCTGTTCCACAAAGCGACCTTAGTGCAATGTTCGTCGTAACTCCCATACTTTACCATAGGCTTACGATCAACGTAGCACTAAGATCGCTTTGTGGAACAGGGCCCAGAGCATCTGCCCTGAGAGCAGAAGGTTAGTAATACATGCTGTTACCCTGCCTGGCACTCGGCATTAACTGGACTAAACAAGGGCTGGTTGGCTCATAGTCAGTTTACTGTGTTTGAGTGGGGTATACTCATGTTAAACTGGGGCATGGTATCTCAGTGGTCAATATTTCAGACTAGTACAAACAGCTACACACATAAACGCTGCTATATATGTGTTTTAGTCCACCTAAAGTTGTTTGTTTGTTTGTTGTTTAACGCTGCACTTATCAGTTTTCCATTGAAATGATGACAGACCTAGTGATTGATATTATGACCAACGATCCACGCCATCGGGTACGATGACACACTGTCATCCAAATCACCTGGTCTAACAACCCGAGCCAAAACATTGATCAGCATCGGTAGTTGTGGATCTATTCTAACCTGAATCCTACAAGGATGTGACCTAAGTAGTGTGCACCCTTTCTTGTTTCAAATCCTTGATCAGCGTCTGTATCTTATCCTCAACAGTGGACCCACATACTGTAAATCTTGATATTAAAGAGAGCATGAATTAAATGCGAAAAATGCGAGTTGTCTTTCCTCGCATTATTAAACATCGCATTTATATCAACAATAAGACATTTTAGATAGCAGAAACACCAACTTAGACATACACTGAAAACAAACAACTATGTATTCCACATCACTGTTTTTTTAGCAGCACTTGTTACAAGTATATAAACAATGTCATTCAAACACTAATTACATCCTGTGAATTGTCACTGCTGGGGTCAAGACAAGCGTTCTACTCACTCATGTCATCACTGATCACACTTGCAAGTCCAGACAGACGCCACCCAACACGGTGTCTTTGCTCTTTGCGACTGCATCAAAGGCCGACACGAGCCAGCGCGCATGTATTGTTTCAGCTGAAGTACTCTACTCAGCGCTTATAAGCGGTGCTATTTGGTGAGTGGTTGGATTAATGTAAGGTTGGATTAAGATGAGGATTCTCCTGTAAACCTGACAGAGGACATTTGGTTTAGATATATCTTATCCTCATCAGTGGACCCACGTACCTGCTTCTGTTGGTGAGTAGGGATGCCCCGCACAAGCAGCTGAGAGAAGAACAGGTTCCCACTCTCTTCGATTGGTTGGAAGATAAACCTGGCTGCCATCGAGCCGAGGTTGTTAATGACGTCATACACACCTGAAAATATCATCAGTTTATTTTCCTAAAGTCATAATTTGATGCCAAACACAAATGATAGTGCTAATTTGTTGTCATACACAACTGCGAAATTCATAACTTGATGTCATACACAACCAATAAAGTCATATGTTAGTGTCATTCACAACTGATAAAGTCATAATTTAACATCATACACATCTAATAAAGTCAAAATTTGATGCCTTTCCTAACTGATAAAGTCATAATTTAATGTCATTCACAAGTGATAAAGTTATAATTCAATGTCAATCACAACTGAGGAAGTCATATTTTGGAGCCATACACAACTGAGAAAGTCATAATTTAACGTCATTCACAATTGAGAAAGTCATATTTTAACATCATTCACAATTGAGAAAGTCATAATTTAATGACATACACATCTGATAAAGTCATAATTTAACAACATACACATCCAATCTCATTAAAATCAGATCTAAGTTCTCGCTGCCGCTAAACAAAGATCTGAGGACATACCATTACGGGTCACGTCAGATCGACCTTTCGCGAACTTTGACTGACCACTGAAATGACTAACAAGAAGTCGACATCAGCCAATTAGAAAGCAGCTTTCTCAAGCTATATAGCACTCATTTCAACCTAGCGACTTCCATTTCAGACTACGCTTGAAAAGTATGTCGACACAGTTCTCGATTAAAATTTTGAAAACTGAACAAACGAACATTCCGGAATGTCTAATATATGGCTGAGATTGTATGGCAGTGCTTCCCACGTACTGTGCAACGCTTCCTCCATTCAAATGTTTATCCTACAGAAGCGAGAGATAGACGATAATTTTGATGGAATCAGTCGTACGGGCCGTAATTGTTGTTCCGAATACCCCGTTTAAACGTTTTCGAGGTTGCACGGTTAGAAAACACATTCCGACTGTCAGTTTCATGATCTGGTAAGCGACGCTTTGATTGGTCGGATGAAAGGTCGTTCTGACATGACCAATAATGGGATGTCCCCAGATCTTTGTTAAGCGAGAACTAAAGTCTGATTTTAATGAGATTGATACATATCTAATAAAGTCATACTTTGATGCCTTTCCTTACTGATAAAGTCATAATTTAATGTCATTCACAAGTGATATAGTTATAATTCAATGTCAATCACAACTGAGGAAGTCATATTTTGGAGCCATACACAACTGAGAAAGTCATAATTTAACGTCATACACAACTGATAAAGTCATAATTTAAAATTCTGCACATCTAACAAAGTCATAATTTAACAACATACACATCTAATAAAGTCATAATTTGATGCCTTCCATAACTGATAAAGTCATGAATTAATGTCATTTACAATTGAGAAAGTCATAATTTAACGTCATTCACAATTGAGAAAGTCATAATTTAATGACATACACAAGAGATAAAGTCATAATTTGAGAACAGTCACACCTGAAATTCTTGAAGATTATTTCCTATGTCATCACAATGTTCATAACAGTAAGCCACATGTTAGAAACATGATACCCCTTATAGGTCTTATCAAGCAATTACATTGGATATTCTATCTTCCATGGTAGAACTCAACTCTTAGATAATACAGGGCTGAATAAGTGATTAGATCTTCATCCTATAAAATGTCAAGCCTCATTACTGATTTAATTACACATTTGACTCAGGCTGAATCTAACTACCCAGACTAGTATAACAGATTTATTACTGGCTTACAATCTGGATTAACACATTTAAGGAGTCATGTACCACATAAAATTTTCAAGAATCTTTTCTATTTCTCAAAGATGATTAGGGACAAATTCAAGGAAATGAAAACTGTTTCCTGATTGTTGGATGATGGAACTAATGATTAATTCGATGTAGTCTTATCAGGTCAACCCTGATCTGCAGCTACACCTGGTGAGAGCAGTGGAACTTTACCTTGATCAGCAAATGAGAGAGCTCCAAGGAATGTCATGACAAACTTCTCCCCTGAACAGAAAAACAACAATTTAACACTCACCCATTGCACAAGAGTGAGAACAGGTGAAAGTAAATATCATGGTTACCATCATAGTTTCTTTCAGGTTCTGAAATCTTTTCTGTGTGTTGGCAGAGAATAGCACCTTTAATAGTGTTTCGTCAAATATCTATCACAGCAGAATGAGTGATATTCTTTTCAGATTCTTAAATCTTCTCTGTGGGTTTTGAGAGAATAGCATCTTTAATAGTGTTTCGTCAAATATCTATCACCGCTGAATGGTGTGGGTGAGTTGGGTTTAACCCCGCTTTTAACAGTATTCCAATTATATCACGGCATTTCAGCTTAATGTTGGAGGAAAGACCGAAGTGATACAGGTCTCAGACGTTTACCACTTCGGTGAAACCCACGAGCACAGGTATGGTGCTTATAAACTTAGAAACATAATCGGGGGGAACCAGGATTCGAACCCCCAATCATAGGTTTCTGGCATGCCCAATGGGCACTTGAGACAACTGGGTCACCTGTGCCCCCACATCAGAATGGATGATAGTCTTTACAGCGTTTCTCTGTGTGTTGGGAGAGAATAGCACCTTTAATAGTGTTTCGTCACATATCAATCACATCAGAATGGTTTCCATTTGGGAACTAAAGACAATTGATCTGTCTACATTTTGGATCTAAAGACAACTGATCTGTGTCTACATTTGGGAACTAAAGACAATTGATCTATTTACATTAGGGAACAAATGACAATTGATCTGTCTACATTTGGGAACTAATGATCTGTCTACATTTGGGAACTAATGATAATTGATCTGTCTACATTTGGGAACTAAAGACAATTGATCTGTCTACATTTGGGAACTAATGACAACTGATCTGTCTACATTTGGGAACTAATGACAACTGATCTGTCTACATTTGGGAACTAATGACAACTGATCTGTCTACATTTGGGAACTAATGACAACTGATCTGTCTACATTTGGGAACTAAGGACAGCTGATCTGTCAACATTTCAGGCTGACATACACAGTGAAGGGTTGGGAGAAGGGGTACATTCCCCCGGCAGTACCTTCTGTAAGGACCTGTTTGAGCAGCGACTGCTGGAAGAAACTCCCCACTAGACTGGTCAGCTGGCTGTCAAAATACGGCTGAAATAACAAGTGAGTGAGTAGTCATTCCTTCACCACATTAAGCAACATTCAAGCAATGTAAATAACAACAGGAATGTATATTCATAAGATCTGTTGTTGTTTTTGATATCCCTATCGGTCTTAAAAGTATCCACCCATCCATCCACCCATCCATCCATCATGCCACCCATCCATCCATCCATCCTTCCATCCATCCATCCATCATGCCACCCATCCATCCATCCATCCATCCATCCATCATGCCACCCATCCATCCATCCATCCATCCATCCATCATGCCAACCATCCATCATGCCACCCATCCATCCATCCATCCATCCATCCATATATGTCTTCATACTCCTAAGTTCATATCTGACTTCCTTGCAACTTGTTGAATACAGCTCTGAAATCAATTGTACTTTCTATAAACAAATGAAAATTAAGAGTTCCAGTCGCATTGGGTTGATAAGATGGCACAAGTTATCTCCCTTTATTCTTTCTTGGAACCTGTTGTGCAAGACAATGACCAGATAGTGACAAGAAAGTGACAACATGGTGTACTTGAGGTCTCTTCTACCCTGGGAGCACTGTAGACATAACTAAAGAAACAAACAAATGCATTCTACAGTACAAGTTATCTCTGGAATGTGGTCTGGTTTTGGAAGATTCTTCAGTATATCATGAATAACAAGTACAGACCTTCCCTTCTATCCTTTGTGGGAAGAAGTCCCTCACAGACTTCAGTGGGAAATCCTCATCTTTCTTCTTGGCAACATAGAGTGTGAAGTAGACATAGTAGATGACGCAGTAGACGGCCGCACCTGTCACCTGAGGGAACAGTGAGTGAGTGAGGAATCGTATTCAAGCTCTGAGCAGTAGTATTGATGTGGCTCGTAGGAGCTATGAGGGGCTGTGAGGGAGGGAGTGAGAGAGTAAGATCAAAAATCATCAACATTGAAGAATCATTACTGCTTGCCTATTTTGAGTTGTCCTTAAACTGTTGTCATGAATCAATGACTTCAAGAGTGAGACAAAAAAAGGTTGCATTATCTGTTTCAGCTTTCTGTCACATACCTGAGCAATGCAAAATGCCAGAAGTCCGAGAGATGGGACGAAGTATATAAGCAGCACTGTGATGACACACTTGGTGGCCTGATTTGCCCCAAAAGCCAGGACCTGCAAGTAGCATTCTCGTCTGGGATTTCACATGTTCATGTAAACACCTTTCAAAACGTCACAAGATGACAAATTCAAATTCAAACATTCAACATAAAAGAGAACACTTCATTTCTGTGAAAATTATAGCTTCAGTTGAAATCATAACAGAAAGACAAGATATTGTTTGTTTGTTTGTTTGTTGTTTAATGCCGCACTCAGCAATATTCCTGCTATATGACGGCGATCTGAAAATAATCGAGCCTGGACCAGACAGTCCCGTGTTTGATATCATAAGCATCGATCCACGCAGTTGGGATACAATGACATGTATCAACCAAGTCAGCGACCCTGACCACCCAATCCCGTTAGTCGCCTCTTACAACAAGCATAGTCACCTTTTACGGCAAGCATGGGTTGCTGAAGACCTATCTACCATGGTCGAAAGACAAAAGCTCATTATAGGTGAGTGAATGCTGTTAAACGCACAGCAAAAATCCAGCGGCCATATTTTTTTAATTTATTAAGTTAAAAATTTGTATGGCACATTTTCCAAATTACAACATCTCAAATGCACTTAGATCCTGATTGATCTAGTCAAAGGCTCTCTTGAAGAGACAGGTTTTTAGTGTCTTTTTAAAGTTGTCAGATTTTCTGTTTTCTGATTTCTTGTGGCAGGTTGTTCCATAGCAATGGGAAAGCATGTTGAAATGTGCGATCGCCATGTGTTAAGGTGCACGACTTTGGCACCACTAGCAGATGTGGATCTTTTGGTCAGAGGGAATGTTCAGGCTTGTATGGTACTATCAGTTCCTGTAAGTGAGCAGGAACCAAACCATGCATTGCATTATAAACCAGAGTGAGTAGATAAATTGCACTCTTTCTTTTGAATAGTTCACACTTATATTTCTCACAAATACAGCTGTGTGGAAGGGGTGTGCATAAAATATGCAAACAATTTGATTAATTTTCCTAACGCAAAGACATTACCATGAGCACATAACACTGGAAATACCATGACAACAGATCCGTACTGAAGTACACAAGTTAGTTCTGTTACTACACTATCTGGTTATTAAGAGTGTTCATTGTATATCTGGGTTTATGTTTGTGACCTATTTTATTTAAGGATTGACTGTGTATCTTTTTCGGTTCATTGAGGTAGGAATTGAAAAACCGATGTGCAAACTGTATGAATCCGCGTATCGGTTCTTACAAAAGTTTGCACATTGGTTTTTTGATTCATACCTCAATGAACCGAAAAAAATACACCGATGTGCAAACTGTATAAATCTGCATAGCGGATTCTGACAAAAGTTTGCACATTAGTTTTTCGATTCACATCTCAATGAACCGAAAAAAATATACAGTCAATGCTTATAATTAAATTCGACAACGAAAAACATGTTTTATCTACAATAGTTTAACCCAAAACAGTTGCATATATCAAAACAGACAAAAATGACGACATTGATAAACATTCCAGGTGTAGGAATACATGCAGTGGCGTGACATGAATCAGGTGATTGTTTAATTTATGCACATAATTTGACACGCCTACACAGTCAGTAGCTAATCAACGGAGAGTGGGATTAAAAAAATGTTCATTGGACCTGTCAATTAATGCAAGAGGCGAAAAGAACTGCAACAGTCAGACTGTAACGAACCGGAAGAAATATGTCCGAGAGAAGGCGGCTGTTTCAAATAACATGGTCAGTTACTGCGTGATTCAAACATTACTTCCCTGATTACGGTAAAACACAGTTGGAGAAATGCTAGTTAGAAATTAAACCCGAAGACATGAAAGTTGAACCGAGGCGAGTCGGAAAAAACAGGCGAGCGATCCTGCACGTTAGCTGTTTCATTCATTCTCGGCCTTCGGTTTCAAAGGGTTGTTTGGACAATGAATATGCATGAAAGTCGCTAAATGTCCTGTGCATGCCGATACACGTGAGCAGAAAGGGAATTCCCTCGACTGTAATATTGGGATTCCCCGACATTCCGCAGTAATAAAAGTAGTGCGCCGCGGTGGGCGTGGCTTAATTTTTTACATTCATTGGGAAATGAATGCAATAACACGTGACCAATTCAGCTAATCAGAATGCAGGAATTTCCATGAACACAACAAAAATTTAACTATTAAAAGATTAATTCAATATTATTCAATATTTCAGAAAAGGTGTGTGTGAACTGATTTACAACAACCTAGATCAGATGACCGTTGTATTACAGGGCAGGGCCAGTAGATACCAAGTTTTGACCCAACAAACAAGTGAGTGAAAACATGAGCAACCATCCATGTCATCAGGGCACTATGGCATAGGGTCTCACCACTACACTGACTACAAGATCTAATCTTGTGGTCTGCTTTTTTGGTTGCTGAAGACCAATTCTAATCTGGATCTTCACAGGGGACAAGCATGGGTTGCCGAAAGGTCAATTCAAACCTGGATCTTCACAGGGGACAAGCATCGGTTGCTGAAGACCAATTCTAACATGGATCTTCACAGGGGACAAGCATGGGTTGCTGAAGGGCAATTCTAACCAGGATCTTCACAGGGGACAAGCATGGGTTGCTGAAGAGCAATTCTAATCTGGATCTTCACAGGGGACAAGCATGGGTTTCTGAATACCATTTCTAACCAGGATCTTCACAGGGGACAAGCATGGGTTGCTGAAGAGCAATTCTAATCTGGATCTTCACAGGGGACAAGTGTGGGTTGCTGAAGAGCAATTCTAATCTGGATCTTCACAGGGGACAAGCATGGGTTGCTGAAGAGCAATTCTAATCTGGATCTTCACCGGGGACAAGCATGGGTTGCTGAAGAGCAATTCTAACCAGGATCTTCACAGGGGACAAGCATGGGTTGCTGAAGAGCAATTCTAATCTGGATCTTCACAGGGGACAAGCATGGGTTGCTGAAGAGCAATTCTAATCTGGATCTTCACAGGGGACAAGCATGGGTTGCTGAAGAGCAATTCTAATCTGGATCTTCACAGGGGCCAAGCATGGGTTGCTGAAGATCAATTCTAATCTGGATCTTCACAGGGGACAAGCATGGGTTGCTGAATACCAATTCTAACCTGGATCTTCATGGGGGACAAGCATGGGTTGCTGAAGACTAATTCTAACCCGGATCTTCACAGGGGACAAGCATGGGTTGCTTAAGACCAATTCTAACCAGGATCTTCACAGGGGACAAGCATGGATTGCTGAAGATCAATTCAAACCTGGATCTTCACAGGGGACAAGCATGGGTTGCTGAATACCAATTCTAACCTGGATCTTCATGGGGGACAAGCATGGGTTGCTGAAGACTAATTCTAACCCGGATCTTCACAGGGGACAAGCATGGGTTGCTTAAGACCAATTCTAACCAGGATCTTCACAGGGGACAAGCATGGATTGCTGAAGATCAATTCAAACCTGGATCTTCACAGGGGACAAGCATGGGTTGCCGAAGACCAATTCTAACCTGGATCTTCACAGAGAGTTACATGTTAAATCTTGAAATGGGGATTTGCATCCTACTCTAACCTGGATCCCCGTGAAGTGACATCGTCAATGAGAGACAGTTGAGACAAGCCTTACCTTGAGCTTGACAAAAAGATGTGCCCTTGCAACCAACCACAGTGGATCAGCAATGCACTCCAGCACGGATGTGAGACAGAAACAGACAACACCGATGTTATAGTATGGTACAGCTTCAGGGTCAGGCAACTTCAGGGCAAACATCCACACAGAGCCTAGGACAGTGCCAAACACCAGCGAGATCGGGACCCTGAAACACGGTTGTCTCCCTTCAACTAAAACTTTCACAACTGGTCACATTGGTAGCTTGGCAGAATAGAAAGTGCTGAAGGCTCTACAAACCCTATGATCTCAGTTATTTTTACCTTTTATGTACATTCCTTCCCCATGGTAATATTCTCCACACATGTCATAGCAGGTATTGCCAATTATCTTTTAATGTAAATTTTGTTATGAAATATAATTAATTTACAGTATTGATAGTGTTTGAAATGAGATTCCATTAAAAGTGAGTGATGTTTTTTTAAAGTCCATGTAGTAAGACCATGTAGTAAGACCATGCTTCTCCCATTTGACATAGATCTAACTTTCATTAACTCAATAGTAGGAGTAGGTGAGTGAGTTGGGTTTAACACCGCTTTTAACAGTATTCCAGTTATATCACGGCGTGTCAGCTTAATGTGGAAGGAAAGCCCCAAGTGATGCAGGTCTCAGGCATTTACCACTTCGGTGAAACCCACGAGCACGGGTATGGTGCTGACAAACCTAGAAACATAATCGGGGCGAACCGGGATTCGAATCCACAATCATAGGTTTCTGGCGTGCCCAAGGGACGCATCGCTGCACAGCGAATAGCGGCGCCTTAGACGACTGGGCCATCCATGTCCCCCACTAGTAGGAAGTTCCATATACCAAGGACCTGTGAAGATCCAGGGTAGAATAGGTCTTCAGCAACCCATGCTTGCCGTAAATGGCGACTATGCTTGTCGTAAGAGGCAACTTACGGAATCGGGTGGTCAGGCTCGCTGACTTGGTTGATACATGTCATCGATCCCAATTGCGTGGATTGATGCTCATGATATCAATCACTGGATTGTCTGGTCCAGACTCGATTATATACAGACCGCTGTCATATAGCTGGAATAATGCTGAGTGCGGCTTTAAACCAACCAACCATATACCAAGAACAAAGATGCCAGCACAAACAGATGGCAACTGTCATAACTGCTTCAGCAACTTGTATCAACTGACGATACCCTATGGGAACATTGTGAGGAAGACTAAATGTAGCACTCAAATACATTGTTTATTATGAGCCTTGTTACGTATGTCATTGTTTCCGCCCATGTGCAGTGAACCTGACATGACAATAGCTCCAACATGTCTAGCAACAATTCATCACTTTATAAATGTGAGCAAGGGACATTAGCCCTTTTTGAATGAATTGCATGATTAACAGCAGATCTTAATGTAAATTTTGTGGGCTGTATTGAGCTGAACTTACAATAGACAGTCAGAAATCTTACTGTAATCAGCATAGCTCTTTATAAGCGGCGTTTTTGCATCAAATACTCACAATAAATCACCACAACCCAATTATCTTGGAGTTGCTTGCGTACAAATATAAAAGAATCTAATAACCAATAGTATAACCACACTGAGTGTAATTACACAAAGCAGGCTGCACATCAGTATGTCTCGGTAAGATCATTCTCTCCTGATGGCATGCAGGCATCACATAGGAATTCTACTGCAGTGAATAATGCAAAACAGTGTTATGTCAAACTTATTACTTAGGCATCTGTTGCTGTTCTGAGCTAATGAAACATGTGACCCACATTGGGTATCACATGGACAGATGCAAATTAGAAGTCACCTGAAAAAGCATTGTAAGCAGAATTATGTTCAGTTCACTCATTGATTTAAAAATACCCAATAGACAGGATCCAAAGGACACAAATATATTGAACACCCAAAGAATACTATCAATACCCCAAGTAAAGGATAACCACTTATTCCCAAGAAAAATCACAAATACAGTAAACTACAGTTGTAACAAACTCATAGGGACCACTAAGTTTAGTTTGTTATAACTGTAGTTTGTTATAAGCATATATAGGATATATACAACAAATGGATGGGACTAAAAAAACTTTCATAAAATCCATCAGTTTGTTAAATGTATGTTCGTTATGAAGTAGTTCACTGTAAATAATTCTCACTTTCAAATGTTCTTGTGGTATTATGACTATATAAACAATGTTTACATCTAACCATACATAAATATCAGTGACACTATGCATATAATTTGGTTTAAAGTTTTTAGGGGGGAAATGGTTGTTTTTACTGCAGAATTTACTGCAGAATTAAGTAAGTTTAGCTGCAGAAGTTTGGTAATTTTACGACAGAGTTTTGATAATTGTCGTCTGGAAGCCTAGAACCTTATATCCATATGGCTTGCAGAGACACAGGGCCTACATCGCCCGGAATCCCTCAGGGAGACAAGCATGTTATATTTGGGCCTACCTTGCCCCTGACTTTGATTGAGCAACAAGCATGAGGCTGTGATGACCTCTAATCCCATGACCTCTGGGGAAGAAACAATGTGTACTAGGAGCCTCCTATAATTTTTCCCAGGAATCATCTCAAGGACACATGTACTTGAGGTTCATTCTGTCCTGGGCGTGTAACTGAGCTGGGCTGATACTCACGCACACCACATGAGGTTGATGACTTGCCGCCAGTCTTTCTTGTCCTGCTTGCTGAGACAGGCCTTGTCAAAAGGCTCACAAGACAAGAACAGCAACGTGCTATGCAGCAACAGCAACCTGCAGCAACAAACAAACAGAGGTCAGCATTCTGCATTAATGGTTCCCTACTTTTCTTAAGTGTGTTGTCATTAAAATCAGATCTTAGTTCTCGCTACCGCTAAACAAACATCTGAGGTTATCCCCTTACGGTTCATGCCAAACAACTTTTCGCGACCTTTGACCGACAAATGAAATGACTCACAAGATATTGACATTAGCCAATCAGAAAACAGCCTTCTCCAGCTTTACGGCAATAATTTAAAACTGGCAGTTTTCATTCTAGATTACGTTCTGAAAAATGTCAATTCAAAATTTGAAAACTGAACAAATGAGACTTCAGGAATGTCTAGTAAGATGGCCGAGATGGTATGGCAGTACTTCCCATGGGCTACAGAAAGTTTGTTTTAAATGTTTATCCAGTTGACATGATTGAAGCAAGAGATAGACTGTCATTCGGAATACCCGATGTTAAGGTTGATAGATTAGAAAACACATTCTGACTGTCACTTTCCCGATCTGGTAAGCGATGATCTGATTGATCGAGTGAAAGGTCTTCCAGACTTGCCTCATAATGGAATGTTCTCAGATCATTGTTTAGTGGTAGCTAATACTAAGATCTGATTTTAAAGATATAACACGCAGGAAATAACATATGTTTACATGGATCATGTGACTAATAATTTAATATCATTGAGTACATGAAGTCAGTATTTTACTCGGGTCAGGTGAGCCCTGAGCAGGACCCGGGTACCCACAGTACAACGCGCACCAATGGTTAGTCATGTGATACTGTAAAATGTGAAATTAACGCGAGCGTGAATTAAATACAAAAAATGCGAGTGGTCTTTGCCAGCATTATTAAACATCGCATTTATATCAACAATAAGACATTTTTGATAGCAGAAATACCAACTTAGACATACGCTGAAAACAAACAACTATGTATTCCACATCAATATTTATTGAGCAGCACTTGTAACAAGTATATAAACAATGTCATTCAAACACTAATTACATCCTGTGAATTGTCACTGCTGGGGTCAAGACGAGCGTTCTACTCACTCATATCATCACTGATCACACCTGCAAGTCCAGACAGACGCCACCCAACACGGTGTCTTTGCTCTTTGCGACTGCATCAAAGGCCGACACGAGCCAGCGTGCACGTATTGTTTTAGCTGAAGTATTCTACTCAGCGCTAATAAGCGGTGCTATTTGGTGTGTGATTGGATTAATGTAAGGTTGGATTAAGATGAGGATTCTCCTGTAAACCTGACATTTTGTTTAGATATAAATCCACTGATGCTTGAGAGGAGGGGGTGTCGCATTCATATTGAGTCGCATTTTGGCTAGGGGCCAGCAGTCGCATTCATTTGGAGACGCATTAATTTCACGTTTTACAGTATGTGGTTGACAATGTCAATACAACTCAATGGTTACACAAGTCACTAAATGTTCACATTACTTTATGACTATGCACACATTCCTTCTGACTTTAAAATGTTTAAGAAAAGATGAAGCTTCAGTCAACTTCATTCGTGATCATATCATTTTATGCATGTATCTTAGTAGTTTTTGCCAGGGCTCCAGTTAAACAATTCCCAATCAGACATTTTGAACCCAAGTACAGCGGGTATCCGGGTCGGGTAATAGGGGTCGGGTACCCAGGTAGCAAATTTGGACTCGTCGCTGTATGGTACACTGCCATAACACAGACAGGTCACTCAAACTGTGTAACTACCTGATCCTCATGTTGGGTTTGTTTCTTGTTCTATGCCGCACTCAGCAATATTCCAGCTACATAACGGCAACCTGCAAATAATCAAGTCTGGACCAGTCAATCCAGTGATCAATATTGTCGTCAGGACAGGAATGGGATGCTGTTGATATATTTCTTGTGTTATCCTTGTGTTATCACCCACAGGGAAATATCAGGAAGCAGATATTTCTGCCTGAGAACCAAGACTATTATTTTTTTTTAAGCTTATAAATATTAGGATATTTCCACCATTTGGTTTACATGTTGATATACAGATCTTATTATATCGAGATGTTTTGGGAAGGAAATATACTATATATTTATACACTTATACAAGTCAGAGGCATGGGTGGGCCGGTTGTCTAATGCGTTGCAATTCACTGTACAAATTTGCTTCCATTAGGAGTGCCAGAAACCTATGATTGTGGGGGTGAATCCACCCTGAAAATGTTTTGTAGTTTTTCAACACAATACCCATGGAGGGTTAGAAATGTTTTCTTATTTTCACTTGTCCTCAAACTTGATCTGCTTTTTCAGCTGTCATCCACCTAATGGTGAAAAATAGTAGTCCAAAAGGAAATGTCACAAGTCCTTCTTGTATTTTTACAAGTATTGGACAAGGGGAATTAAGTTAATTTCGAACCCTGGCTTGAGTGAGTGAGTGAATATGGTTTTACGCCGCTTTTAGCAATATTCCAGCAATATCACAGCAGGGGACAACAGAAATGGGCTTCACAAATTGTACCAATGTTGGGAATCAAACCCGGGTCATCGTCGTGAAGACCGAACGCTTTAACCACTGGGCTACACGACCACCCCTCCTGGCTTGTGGGTGTCATCACTGCAGTCCTTCCTCCCACATCAAGCTGTCATGCCATAATATTACACAAATACATTTGCAAGAGGCATGAAATCAAACACATTCACTCTCAGTCTGAAGTGACTGCCCCCGTGGTCTGCCCTGAGCGCGGAATGTTAGGGGTTAGATCCCCATCCGCGCCATACAAAAAGATAGTACTTGTTGTTACCCTGCCTGGTTCTTGGCATTAAGAGGATAAATCAAGGACTCAGAGTCAGTATACAGTATATCTGAAGTAAGGATCTAACTAGACATAAAGCTCTCACCTGACATTAACAACACCCAACAAGTCCCTGGTGATAAATCTCAAAACAAATGCATTTAAGAGGAAAGTCATCACCCGTATCATCAGCTGAAAAATAACAAAACATTTGTGAAATATGAGGACAGATAACTTGAACTAATAAGTCAGCTGTGACAATACACATCACTGGTTGTCATATTTTGGCTGGATATGTTCCCATGGAGATGATATGATGTACCGACGCATGAATCTGTCTGTTGTTAATCAATATTTCTACATGGTAGTTGCTATCATCATAAAATATATAACATACAGATCTTGTTTTCTTCTACCTGAATTAAATGTCATTCCAATATGCTAGGTGACTTAGATAAATAAGAATATCAATATGCTAGGCCTTTTTCAATTTGGTTTACAGATCCAAGGGCCCAATATAATGAGAAAATAGGGGGGAAAAAAGAGAAAAATCAACATTACCCTTTTGAACAAATATTTTTATCACTGCCGACCTTGAATTTGTTTGTGTTAGAATAAAAAGATATATCTCTATAATCATGTAACACAGTAACAAGACAACTCTGCCATCAATGCTCGCTACTATGCAGAAGGAGTTGCTTTCGCAATGATTTGCACTTGACATGTCTGAATAAATGTTTATGAAATTTAGCTACTGAACTTAATTTTTTTAGAAGATTTTGGAAACGACTAAACAGGAAATTAGACTTTGACTTACACACTGATTTTAAATGTACAGAAATACCATGATAACTGTCATAGTAATTTCATGATCAGTTCTATAACAAGATAAAAGGCATGATGTTTGAACATGATGATAGTTCAGAATAAATACAATGCTTGAAATACTGTTACTTCTTGAAGAGCAAAAACACCATATTTCTTGTTATCAAAATATATCAAATTATACCTATATGTATTACTATATGATAATGATATAACAGAAAATAAAAAACATGACCTAATATTTTACATTCCAGTTACTGTATATGTTATGCTATCTTTAAAATGTTGAAATTATTTAAGAAAATAGAAGCCTGTCATATTAACAGAACAGTATAACATACATGTTATCTTTTTAATGGAATATTTACCTGCAGTGCCATGTTGTAGGTTGTGGCTTTGGCAGCACCCGCCAATAAGTCTGAACTTGATTTCATTGTACTTTAATCTGTAGACAGTTTATCTACAAGACAAGATGTTTTAAAACTGGTAAAAGGATTCACAATTACAATGCTACATGTGGCTATCATGTATAGCCTGTGCTTAAACTCTTACTAACCTCTTACCTACTGGGTGTAGGTCATAACCGCTGACAACAGTAGACCACAAATACTTACAACTACCATCCATGATTAAATCCAATATGACACATATCTCCTTTGCCATTTACCTGCTGATCGGGACGTCCGATGAGATCTCGAAACACTGACAAGGAACTAGCTTTGTTGAAGTAAATGAAGGCACATGAACACAGACTTAACATATGCAGTATTACTTCTTGTTCACCAACAAATCAACGATTCATGCAGAACAAGGCCACACTGATAATCAGCTGTCTAAACAGTGACATTGATCTGGAACATGAAACCTGATTACCACAGTATTAATATGGAAATTTAACCCATTTCCATAATGATAAGGCAGGCTGCAAAGTCTTTTATGGAAAATAGAGATAGAAAATTCTATAATATTTCTACTTAGTACAATGCTATTTTTAGTAATAGCCAACGGGATACAACAGCTGTTTGTTGAGAAAGTGAGGTGAGGTGAGGTGAGGTGAAATTGGGTTTAACGTCGCATCCAAGATTATTGCACTTATATAGCGACATGCATGCACATGCGTGTGTGTGGCTTCTTGTACTAGTCCGGACTGATGCCGATTTATAGTGCTAGCTCACTGAGAAACCATGCCGCAGTTTAACGTGAATACCCCACTCAGACACAGTATACTGACTCCCAGCCAACAAGTCCTTGTTTTAGCCCCTTAATGCCGAGCGCCAGACAGGGTAACAACAAATACCATGTTTCAACGTCTTTTGGTATGACGTGACAAGGGATCGAACCCTGAACCTTCCGCTCTCCGGGCGGACGCTCTACCACAAGACCACAGAGGCTGTCCTAGTTAACCAGGAATGGAGAGCATCACTGGCATGATAAATTGGTCCTACTAAGCACAATTTCTATCCTGAATCCGAATTGAAGGAAGTGAAGAATTGACAAATTTTACTTGATGATATATTATAAGGTAGTTAATTCGGAAGACGTCTGGTATTGACAGACATCCCGATTAGTGAGATTCCGTTTTTGCAATACTCTATCTTCTTTCATACCAAACACTAAATTGCTTTCCTGTTATGACTCGAAGCTAATAAAGTGATTTGCGAGATTTGAAAGAAATGAGTTCAGCTACAAACCTTTGGGTTTAGATGGAACCGAAGGCGCCTACATTGCAGATTCGGTATAACTTATTACATTTGTCAAATGCATTGATCAGGGGGTGTATTCAATTTAATTTTAATCATTTTAGGCGCTACTGTTCTCGCCCTTTTTTTTATAACGAACACAATAAGGACACATCAAAAGCTGATCAAGCGATAGGAAACCAGTCACACATCGACAGGTGTCATCTTTTCATGGGCGCAGACATCTTGAACTTATCACGTGACAATGTGCAGTCACATGATAAAAGTAAGCGTTCTGTATATGACTGGGTTCCGTCTCCGTAGCCAAAATACAGTTTCGCGTGCAGTTTCTCGAAAACTATGAGTAACAACGGGTGATAAAGTATACAAAATTATGAATACACTATTATTATACACACTATTTTCATTTGAATAAAAGTGATATTACTCAAGATCGTTCACGACAAGCACAATTTCTGTAAGATTGGTTCCCTGCCATTCGCCTTTTAATGAAGTGAGGCGAGGAGCGCATGCGGTCCGAGGCAGGCAAACCAGTCCAACTTTGCTGGAAGGGAAGTAACTCTGAACTTCCCGCCACTACTCAAAAATGTTTTCAGCGAAATTTATCTTGATCAGAAAAGAAAATGTGTCCACCTAAACAGTCATAGTCCAAAGTCAAAATCACAATGCCTCCTAAGAGACCAGCGGGGAAACATGAAAAGCCCAAATCATCGGTTTGTAGATCTATTTATTCAAGGAGTTAAGTTTCTACGCAGTCGGATAACACCGAACACTTCCTGCAATCCTGAAAAGAACTGAAAACAATTCAAATCCTTGTTCAGATGTGAGACCATAGGATGAAGATGCATTCGTAACCAAACCAATTCGTAGGCATCAAGTATTCGTAGCCACTCCCAACTCGTAGAAAAAAGTCAATGTTTACTGTGAAAATAGAACTGAATAATGATTGATTACTCGACCTGGTCACAATCAGAGGTCAAATTGGTTACTCATTTTGATGGACAATGACAGATAGTGCTTCCTTGAAAAGATGAATGGAGAGGTTGTGACGTCTGTAACACGCATGCACAATTCGTTGTTTCCATAATTGGGCATGCATGTTAATGATGTGCTAGTTACCCGTTAAACGCGCACTAATTACATTTGATGGCAGTCTTGGTCCATGGTAGTGGGCATGGGTGGCCCAGTCATTTAAGGCACCCCGATTCGATATGCAGATTTGCGTCCCTTGGGCACGCCAGAAATCTATGATTGTGGGTTTGAATCCCGGTTTGCCCCAATTATGTTTCTAGGTTTGTCAGCACCAGACCCATGCTCGTGGGTTTCACTGAAGTGGTAAACGTCTGAGACCTGCATCACTTCGGGCTTTCCTCCCACACGCTGACATGCCGTGATATAACTGGAATACTGTTAAAAACGGTGTTAAACCAAACTCACTCACTCACTCACTTGGTCCATGGTAGAGCGTCGGCTAAATAATGCACGTTCGAGCCAGCACAGTGCTAAATGGATCTGAAAAAGTGCACCTGGGTAAGTGCATTACTCTGAAAGTGCTTAGTGGTGTAAGAAAATAATAATAAGGTCAAAATTAAAGTGTTTTTCATATTTTCATCCTGTTTTGGTTGTTTTCAAAAGCTGTTGCCCAAGATTCACTTCTTTTTCATTTTTTAAAGCCTTAGAAACTAGTTTTATCATTTTTTATCGTTAGCATGATATTTTTCAGTGAGTGTTTTACCTTTGTATGCAATATCACCAATGTCCGCTATTTGTCTCCAATATCAGGCTCATCCATCGGGTGCCAGACATGACCGCAGCAGTGCAAGAGGGGAGACAAGTTCCCAGTCTAGTCAGCGTCCGTCCACAAGTCAACGTCCATCATCGTCTCAGGCCCCAGCGGCCACCCAGAGACAGCTGTCCAGTCAGACACAAGCTGACAAGGTTGCCGCAGGCATTGACAGGGCAGAACTTGACCGGAAAGTGAGTTGTGATAGATGTATCAGTGTTCAATGTTAGGCATGAAAGAGAAAGTTCAAAGTTAAGCGTGAAAGACAAGGTTCATAATTCTGTGTGGATTCCGAGGTAAGAATAGGCCCCTAGCAACCTATGCTGGTCGTAAGAGGTGACCACATGGTTCAGGTGGTCTTGGCGTGCCACCATACCCTGATGTCATGGATCGTTTTATGATCACAATGTCAATCACTGAATTGTCTAGTCCAAACTCACTTATTTACAAGCCACTGTCATATAGTTGGAATAAATCTGAGTGTGGCGTTAAACAACAAATACTTACTCATATTTAATCTGTCAATATTGTTGTCTGTAGATTCAAATACTCGAGGATATAACCTCAAGGACCCCAGTCATCCATTAATTTCAAACGCTGAAGTTGGTACCCTCGTGGGGACCCGGGGTTAAAAAATCTGTCAGTTTGACATCCCGGACACATCAATATTAGACATACAGACAATCTTGCTTCTTACATTCATTGTTTACAACATTAGCACATGATTTCTCTATTTAACAAACCGACGAGGCTTGTCCTCCCAATTAACCATACAACCATGTTGCCACAACATTCTATGTGAATGCATAACCGAAGTCACACACCATGCACACTGTTGGCAAATCGCCAGTGTGTTTGAATGAAAAGTGCGAAATGTTATGTGGAATAATTATGTATCATAAAATCAAATCAAAATATGTTATTCTATATGAAAGTTTGATTTGTTTCTAGTTTATTTAACATTACACTTAAAACAATTAGCTGTTTCATTGGCGATCGTGATAATTGGTGAAGAATAATTTATAACAGTATGTCATTTGATATGTTTGTCCACGCGTAACAGTTTTTGTATTTCCCACGTGCAGACTAGTATTTCCACTGACAAAATGAGTTGTATAGTTTTGGGATTACAAATGGTTTGATTCTTTTGTTGTAATAATATTCTGGAACTGGACTTGCTTGAATTCAGTTTTGACTCATGAAAATATATGGTCATTCTGAAAAGACATTTAACCCCTGGGGACACGGGTGTCCCAGTTGTCTAGGGCACTGTAGTTGTGTGCAGTTACGCCAGAAACCTAAGATCATGGGTTTGAATCTCTAGTTCAAACTGATTATGTGTCTTGGTTTGGTTGTCTTGGTTTCTTAACATATGAAGCTGATATGCCATGATATTTACATTCTGTTTAGAGCTATATTAAACCAAACTCACTCATTCACTCACTCACTCACTCCACTCACTCACTCCACTCACTCACCGACCGACTCCGTGGTCTAGTGGTATAGAGTCCGCTCGTAGAGCGTTAGGTCCGGAGTTCGATCTCCGGCCGCGTCATACCAAAAGACGTTAAAAGATGGTACTTGTTGTTACCCTGTCTGGCGCTCGGCATTAAGGGGCTAAAACAAGGACGGGTCGACTCGGGAGTCAGTATACTGTGTCTGAGTGGGATATTCATGTTAAACTGCGGCATGGTATCTCAGTGAGCTAGCACTATAAATCGGCATCAGTCCAGACTAGTACAAGCAGCCACACAAACACAAACATGTACATGCACGTTGTATATAAGTGCAATAATCTTGGATGCGACGTTAAACCCCATTTCACCTCACCTCACCACCACTCTCACCCACCCACTCACTCACTTTCTCATTCACTCACTCACTCACTCACTCACTCACTCACTCACTCACTCACTCACTCACAATCCTTCAAGAGTCTTGGATAGAAAAGTTCCCAGCTTCCATACAACTATATCTACCTACTGGTTACTGAGTTGTTACTTGAAGGCTACAGAGAAGAAGGCAATTCATGTATGATTCATACATCAGGTTCTAAATAGTGAGGACTTTCAATCAGCCATCAGCCTTTTTACCAATTTCAAATCTTTTCCAATTCTTTTCTTTGCAGGTAAATGATCTTGTGCAATATTTGCTGATAGTGTGGCAGAAGAATTATCCAATCAAAAAACCGGGTAAGGCAAAGTTTACTTTCAGTTGAAAGATCTAGAGAGTAGTGACTATTTCGTAGCAATAATTACTTGCTGCTCTTTACAAATTACATCAGTATCTGAACATGCTGGGTCACGATATGGCTGAAACAATGCCGATGTGACTTTAAATATTAACTCACTAACTCACTGAACATGCTGAAAGACAAAATAACTTTTCAAATGTCACAGTCGTAAGATAATGTGATGCCCTTAGATTTCACATATTACTCAGATATTTACATGTTATATTCAAAAATGAAATAGACATTCATATTGAGCAGTCAGAGCTAAGAACTTTGGAACTTGGCTCCTACTCCTAGCATCATTTCTGTAGATTTTGTGTAATTATCATGATGATATGGAGTATTGTTAGCTGAGCTTACTAGACTGAACAGACCTTTACCAGACTCCTAGAGATACACACGGTTAATAAAAGCTCTTTCAGTTTTAAGACAATTAATGGGATCGGGTGGTTAGGCTCGCTGACTCTGTTGATGCATGTCATTGTATCACAAATTGCATGGATCGATGCTCATGATGTCAATCACTGAATTGTCTGGTCAAGACTAGATTATTTACAGACCGCTGCCATACAGCTGGAATATTGCTGAATGCGGCGCTAAACAACAAACAAACAAACATCAGTTTTTATTTTTATGTATGACAAACTGTTGACACTTTGAAGGAGGCTCATGAGGACACAAATTGATGCGAAGAGTTACCTCCCTTAGGCATGCTATCACGATGTGATCATGGGTTTGAATCACTGATTCCCTCTGATTCCTAGCAGTCCCTCTTCACCCTCAGTGCTCCTTAGTCTATGATCATGGGTTTGATTACAGGGTTCTCTGATTGTTTCAGAGTTTGTCAGGGGGCACAGGTGGCCCAGGCATCTAAGGCACCGTGATTCACTGTGCAGAGTTGCATCCCGTGGGCACGCCAGAAACCTATGATTGTGGGTTCGAATCCCGGTTTGCCCCGATTATGTCTCTAGGTTTGTCAGCACCATACCTGTGCTCGTGGGCTTCACAGAAGTGGTAAACGTCTGAGACCTGCATCACTTGGGGCTTTCCTCCCACATTAAGCTGACACGCCGCGATATAACTGGGATACTGTTAGAAGCGGCGTTAAACCCAACTCACTCCCTCACTCACTCAGAGTTTGTCAGCAAATGGTAAACATCTAATACTTACAAGCTTTCCTCCCATAGTAAGCTTACACACCATAATATTACTGAAATACTGACATTTACAGACATCAACAAGAATGTGCTGAAAGAACACCGGTCAGCCTTTGCGCATATAATGAAGAAGGCACAGGAGAAGCTAGCCAGGGTGAGTGGGACAACTGACTGTTCATCTTGTTTGACAATAGTAATGTGAAGATTCAGAATTTCATCCCTGCCCCAACTTACTAGAAACTTCCCTCTCAATAAAGTCATCCACTATATGACATCAAGTTGCCAACGCATAAAAAACGAACAACTCCAGAAATGACATCATGATAGGACAACGTGTTATTGTGAAAATAACCGTGCTTTGTTCTTCATTGTTCTTTGCCATTTATCGTGTAGCTGTCTTAAATTATCAGGTAGAAGATAGACCATGATAGAAAGTCAGAACTTGCATTCAACTAAATGTTGTCATGTTAACTTCATTATCAGATTATACGAACATGGAAACATTGTTCACTACAATATAATTCTTTTTTTTAAATTTGCATTCTTTTTGACAAGATGGCATTAACATGGTACTCTAGAGAATGTTTTCAGTAAAGGAATCTTCTTTCAACCAAAAATATCCTAGAGTTTAGGAGTTAGTCAGAAGACCTTACTTGGGAAACAACTGTGTAAAAGAGAACAGGCTGATGCATGATTCAGTACAAATCATCAGAGCTACAGATAAGCAGTGTATCTACGTAAAATACCCCCCACCAAATATTCAAAACCCAATTACTTTCAATTAACTTGCGTACAGAAACTCGTACATTAAATAAAAACTCAAATGTATAAAACAGCACGCATAAATACCCAATGTAGTTTTTCAGCATGCGAAATTCCGAAACACAATTACGAGCCAATTTACTTTCCGAGTCAAGCTATATATTTAGAACAGTTATATACCATGATATACATCTAAAACATTATTTCTTTTTTTTAAAATCTTAAAATGTTCACTAATTTTGGGAAAAACCCATAGAGTGATGAATAGATGAGTGAAAAAATATTGGTTACCCAATGAAAAATGTAATAACCCAATTAAAACAGAAACCTTCGAGTAAAAACTCAATAGCTCTAAAAGTTATCTGGAACTCTGAATCATGCAGTGAGGTTTCAGTTGGAACTTAGGACTGATGTTTTCCAACATTGCAGGTCTTTGGGGTTGATGTTGTCGAACTACAGGATAAGTACAAGGGCAGCTTCATACTCCTCAACAGACTGGAGAACGACACAGACAACCCACATCTGCTGTGGTAGGTAGTACTGCTAGCAGTCATGTTGATATAGACACAGACAACCCACACCTGTGGTAGGTAGTACTGCTAGCAGTCATGTTGATATAGACACAGACAACCCACATCTGTGGTAGGTAGTACTGCTAGCAGTCATGTTGATATAGACACAGACAACCCACACCTGTGGTAGGTAGTACTGCTAGCAGTCATGTTGATATAGACACAGACAACCCACATCTGTGGTAGGTAGTACTGCTAGCAGTCATGTTGATATAGACACAGACAACCCACACCTGTGGTAGGTAGTACTGCTAGCACTCATGTCCAAAAACTAAGAGTGGAGTACTCTTTGTCCAAGCAATAGCAGGGCATACTCAGTGGCCTAGGGGGACATAACTCTGTCAGAGTTTGAATCCAAGGTCTGTCACTGTTGTCATTTTTGTTCTAGCAATACAATACCATTATGGTTTCACTTTAGGCAACTTGTCAGAAATAGGGCTTCAAAAATCACTTGAATAACCGGCACCATAGATATGTTTACTTGTCTCCAGTTGCAGCTTAGTTTTCAGTTTGAAATATTCAAAATGGCCACAGCAGCAGCAGCAGCATATTTTAGTGAAGAATACAGTTTCCATGCTGACTGCATATCCTGTTAATTGATGATGCCCCTGATTGGCTTTAATGGCACTGGGGCAGTCGGGTAGCCAAGTGGTTAAAGCGTTCGCTCGTCACGCCGAAGACCCGGGTTCGATTCCCAACATGGGTACAATGTGTGAAGCCCATTTCTGGTGTCCCCTGCCGTGATATTGCTGGAATATTGCTAAAAGCGGCGTAAAGCCAAAACTCACTCACTCACTCACTTTTATGACACTTTCAGAAATAAGGTCTGGAAATCAGTTGAATAACTAGTACCATTAATTTGAGATTTTTTAATTAAATAGCCCCCAAAACATGACTTCAAAGACAAGGCATATTTGCTTTGCATGAATATTTCACATCAAAGGTACATCAAATGCAATTGCTTCATTCTAATGTATTTATTTGTTTTTATTCAAAATGAATTATCAGAATGGTAAATGTCAAGGGTACTGAAGAAATGGTATGATTGTTTCAGTATGCATTAAAATGACCAAACTGGAAAGTGACAGAAGAACTTCTTCCCACTCCCAGGTTGTTGAAATATATTGCTGTCATTATCCAGCATTCCAGTATGTTCCTAGGATTGCCATGATTCGTGTTTTTCAGGCCCGAAGAAGACAACACAAAGACAGGCCTGCTGATGGTGATTCTCAGCCTCATCTACATGAACGGCAATGTCATGCAGGATTGTGAGTAGCCTGGATAAGAGTCGGTGGGATGGGGCGCTGTGAGGAGGTGAAGGGTTAACGTGCACGACTGTGAGTAGCCTGGATAAGAGTCGGTGGGATGGGGAACTGTGAGGAGGTGAAGGGTTAACGTGCACAACTGTGAGTAGCCTGGATAAGAGTCGGTGGGATGGGGCACTGTGAGGAGGTGAAGGGTTAACGTGCATGACTGTGAGAAGCCTGGATAAGAGTTGGTGGGATTGGGAACTGTGAGGAGGTGAAGGGTTAACGTGCACGACTGTGAGTAGCCTGGATAAGAGTCAGTGTGATGGGGAACTGTAAGGAGGTGAAGGGTTAACGTGCACGACTGTGAGTAGCCTGGATAAGAGTCGGTGGGATGGGGAACTGTAAGGAGGTGAAGGGTTAACGTGCATGACTGTTAGTAGCCTGGATAAGAGTCGGTGGGATGGGGAACTGTAAGGAGGTGAAGGGTTAACGTGCAGGACTGTTAGTAGCCTGGATAAGAGTCGGTGGGATGGGGAACTGTAAGGAGGTGGAGGGTTAACGTGCACGACTGTTAGTAGCCTGGATAAGAGTCGGTGGGATGGGGAACTGTTAGGAGGTGAAGGGTTAACGTGCAGGACTGTTAGTACCCTGGATAAGAGTCGGTGGGATGGGGAACTGTAAGGAGGTGAAGGGTTAATGTGCACGACTGTTAGTAGCCTGGATAAGAGTCGGTGGGATGGGGAACTGTGAGGAGGTGAAGGGTTAACGTGCACGACTGTTAGTAGCCTGGATAAGAGTCGGTGGGATGGGGAACTGTAAGGAGGTGAAGGGTTAACGTGCACGACTGTTAGTAGCCTGGATAAGAGTCGGGGGGGATGGGGAACTGTAAGGAGGTGAAGGGTTAACATGCACGACTGTTAGTAGCCTGGATAAGAGTCGGTGGGATTGGGAACTGTAAGGAGGTGAAGGGTTAACGTGCACGACTGTTAGTAGCCTGGATAAGAGTCGGGGGGGATGGGGAACTGTGAAGGGTTAACGTGCAGGACTGTTAGTAGCCTGGATAAGAGTCGGTGGGATGGGGAACTGTAAGGAGGTGAAGGGTTAACGTGCACGACTGTTAGTAGCCTGGATAAGAGTCGGTGGGATGGGGAACTGTGAGGCGGTGAAGGGTTAACGTGCACGACTGTTAGTAGCCTGGATAAGAGTCGGTGGGATGGGGAACTGTGAGGAGGTGAAGGGTTAACGTGCAGGACTGTTAGTAGCCTGGATAAGAGTCGGTGGGATGGGGAACTGTGAGGAGGTGAAGGGTTAATGTGCACGACTGTTAGTAGCCTGGATAAGAGTCGGTGGGATGGGGAACTGTAAGGAGGTGAAGGGTTAACGTGCACGACTGTTAGTAGCCTGGATAAGAGTCGGGGGGGATGGGGAACTGTGAAGGGTTAAAGTGCAGGACTGTTAGTAGCCTGGATAAGAGTCGGTGGGATGGGGAACTGTAAGGAGGTGAAGGGTTAACGTGCACGACTGTTAGTAGCCTGGATAAGAGTCGGTGGGATGGGGAACTGTGAGGCGGTGAAGGGTTAACGTGCACGACTGTTAGTAGCCTGGATAAGAGTCGGTGGGATGGGGAACTGTGAGGAGGTGAAGGGTTAACGTGCAGGACTGTTAGTAGCCTGGATAAGAGTCGGTGGGATGGGGAACTGTAAGGAGGTGAAGGGTTAACGTGCACGACTGTTAGTAGCCTGGATAAGAGTCGGTGGGATGGGGAACTGTGAGGCGGTGAAGGGTTAACGTGCACGACTGTTAGTAGCCTGGATAAGAGTCGGTGGGATGGGGAACTGTAAGGAGGTGAAGGGTTAACGTGCACGACTGTTAGTAGCCTGGATAAGAGTCGGGGGGGATGGGGAACTGTGAAGGGTTAACGTGCAGGACTGTTAGTAGCCTGGATAAGAGTCGGTGGGATGGGGAACTGTAAGGAGGTGAAGGGTTAACGTGCACGACTGTTAGTAGCCTGGATAAGAGTCGGTGGGATGGGGAACTGTGAGGCGGTGAAGGGTTAACGTGCACGACTGTTAGTAGCCTGGATAAGAGTCGGTGGGATGGGGAACTGTGAGGAGGTGAAGGGTTAACGTGCAGGACTGTTAGTAGCCTGGATAAGAGTCGGTGGGATGGGGAACTGTGAGTAGGTGAAGGGTTAATGTGCACGACTGTTAGTAGCCTGGATAAGAGTCGGTGGGATGGGGAACTGTAAGGAGGTGAAGGGTTAACATGCAGGACTGTTAGTAGCCTGGATAAGAGTCGGTGGGATGGGGAACTGTAAGGAGGTGAAGGGGTAACGTGTACGACTGTTAGTAGCCTGGATAAGAGTCGGTGGGATGGGGAACTGTAAGGAGGTGAAGGGTTAACGTGCAGGACTGTTAGTAGCCTGGATAAGAGTCTGTGGGATGGGGAACTGTGAGGAGGTGAAGGGTTAACGTGCAGGACTGTTAGGAGCCTGGATAAGAGTCGGTGGGATGGGGAACTGTAAGGAGGTGAAGGGTTAACGTGCACGACTGTTAGTAGCCTGGATAAGAGTCGGTGGGATGGGGCACTGTGAGGCAGTGATGGTTTAACATGCAGCATTTCAGTAGTTGTGAGTAGCCTGGATAGAGTGGGGCAAGGCAGGGTGGGGCACTGAGATGAGGGCAAGGGTTAACATGCAGGGCTGTGAGTAGCCCTGTGAGTAGCCCTGAAAGGTGGAGGGTGTGGGGGGGATAGAATTCTGTCTATTGGGTTAGAGGCGTTAGAGGTACTACATTCCAAACTGTGATGAAATAGGCAGGGTGGGGCTGGTTGTAGGCTGTGTATGGGGGTAGTGTAGACATCAGGTAAACCTGTGAGTAGCGGGACATGGGCGGGGCAAGACATATTCTTAATGCACAGTAACACTGTGAAATAATAATAAGCTTCATTAGACAGCATGGTTGTAACCCTGAGCATCAAGTTCTATTAATGATTGCATACCTTTGACATACAGAATAACTGTTCTATATTAAGTATTTATTGATTTGCATAACTGATTGCATTTCCTACATATTTCAGCTGAGATGTGGCACGCCTTGAAGAAACTGGGAGTTGAGCCCGAGTAAGTTGCTGCTCGTATTTCAGGTCCTTATCAACATTTGTCTGGAATGTACCAAAATTAACATGAATTGCCTGCAAGTGTCAAGGGGGATGCCAAGAATCCTTTACAATTCTACAGCTCTCAGGAGGTCTTTAATCTCAGTCAAAATGATGGTGATGATAACCCATTACTGATGTATACTAAAGATTCAGTTGTTCTTTGACTTCTTTTTGAGTAGTATATTTTAGGAGATGTTACTTCATGCTTGTTATCTGAGCCGTGGATTAGATGGATATGCTCAGGGCTCCATTTAACTATAAAAAACATGCACCAGTGCAATCTGTTATTGAAAGGGGCAACCTAATATATATATATGTCCACAAGCACCAAATGCATGTTGAATTTTTTTTGAGTTTGACTAACTTTTGCTTGTCCACACAATGGTCTTTGAAAACACTCCATACCTCTTAGGGGGCATGGGTAGCCCAGTTGTCTAAGGTATCGCGATTTACTGTGCAGAGTTGCGTCCCTTGGGCACACCAGAAACCTATGATTGTGGGTTCGAATCCCGGTTTACCCCAATTATGTTTCTAGGTTTGTCAGCACCATATCCGTGCTCTCAGTCATTACATCCAGAGTTAGAATTGCGTTGTCCCAGCAAGCTTCAGTAGGTACCAAGACCCTGTGATTGTCGACACACCCCAGCTTAAAGGGAAATTGGTTGTTTGCTGTCCCTTTGGATTCAGGGGTAAATTGGATTTCCTGGCCCGGACTTTTAGTTAGAATATTGCTGACTGCAGACAGTGTTCCCTGCTGGGTTTTTAAACTGCCAGTCCTGGTGGACTGGCAACTCTTAAAATTACCAGTACCCCCTAATTTCTGTCAGTCATTTCAGTCTTTCAACAGATAAAAAAACCTTTGAAAATTGCCTGGTTGTGATTCTTTAAACATCATGATCAATACAATGACGTCATCTCTGAAGTAACTACACGTAAATCACAGAGAGTTCAGTCTTTTCTCATCTTTTTTTTTAAATATTTCAAGACTAAGTCACTACAAATATATATTTAACCTCGAAGCAACCATGATGGGTAACAGACAAGCTGACTTTGTTCAAAAACTGTACTGATATGAATATCACAGATGTTTTGTCAACAACAAAGATGTGTAAGGTACTGTATCTGCTGGACTGACAGTCACATGAATTACTGGCCCAATTTTACCGATGAAAAACTGGTAGTTACCGGTAAACGAGAACATTGTGCAGTGTTAACAATACTCACTTTCTCAGAAGGTTACAATGTGTGGATTGGTTGATTCTGGGTCCCAAAACATTGGAACATTGTTCATGCTATCGACCACTGTTTTTTTGTGATCCCAAACCTGATTATCTACAGGGTACTGTGATTCTAGCTATTGTTTGAAATTTGACTCCCCACACAGCAATATTCAATCTATATGATGTCATTCTGGAAATTATCCAGTCTGAACCAGACAAACCAGTGATTGATATCATGAACATCGATCCGTGCAATTGGAATACAATGACATGCATAAACCAAGTCAGCAAGACTTGGTACTTTTGCCACCAGTTTATGTCAGAGTCCACTGTATACAGCTTTGGGTGCTCTCTGCACATCATTTGTTTTAATTGACTCCCCACTCAGCAATATTCAATCTATATGATGTCATTCTGGAAATTATCCAGTCTGGACCAGACAAACCAGTGATTGATATCATGAAGAAAGATCCACACTGAAGGTGTACTACTGATGTGCTACAGCATGTGTCTTATCTCCTTTTCAGCCTTCCTCATCCAACTTTCGGGGATGCCAAGAAGCTAATTACCCAGGAGTTTGTACGGCAAGGCTACATCGAATGTATCCGCCTACAAAACGTGGACCCACCAAGTTTCGAGTTCAAGTGGGGTCAAAGGGCACAACTAGAGACATCTAAAAGACACTGTCTAACCTTTGTCAGCCAGGTAGGGAGGACTGTGTTTGTTCTTTAATTATTAATAAAACAAGGCCCACATTTCATGGTGTTAAGGTTATTGGCCTACCAATCAGCTCTAGCACGTTCAGTAAGTTTGTGCTGCTCAGTACTGTTGGGCCCATCTTCCCGAGGCAAGAGAGTAAACTGACTATACAAGTCCAGTTTCCACCCTTGCCGAACTAGCCGGGTATTATGGAGTTACATTTTGGCTGGACTAACGAGTTTATGCATAGTCCAATCAAAATCGCTCACCAAAATCGACATCCGGTCCGTAAACTGTCGTGCCGATTTCGGTCGATTGCAGGATTTGCAAAGCATGTACACCGCCAACTCGTCAGCAGATATTTTCAAAATCTTTTCATGTTTTTAATTAAGGTGCTCACGTGATTTGATGCATTTCGCGATGTAAGACCCGTTTTATCACGATATAGAACTTGATTATCGATCAGATCGTCCTGACTGGGCGCCACCATTTTGTGTGAAGCAAACGCAAGTGATACGAGAGATGGAATCTGATTGGTCCATAGGAGAGGTTTAGAAGGGACATAACTGGTAATAGCCACTTGTGGCGCTACGATCGAGCCCAGGAATTCCAGCCTAGTTCGGCAAGGGTTGAAACTGGACTTTTAATGTCAGTTAACTTTCTTGCCTCGGGAAGATGTGTTTGGCCAGATAAATGGGCATTTGCTAGTGATTCCGTGGCATTTGATTGACTAACCAAGCAATTTACTTTGCTTTTATGTCTTCATTAAAATAGGCCATGCCCACGAACAGAGTACTGTTTTCTGATTGGTTGATATAAGAGTGGGCGGGCTTGTGTTGCATTGTTGCTCTGAATGAAGTCACTGATTTGTAACGTTGTCAACCATTTTTGTCTGTTAAGGATTAAATAGCAGGCAATATTGAAGTCAGTACTTAAATGATTTGGCATAAAGTTGTTTGTGTTGTTGAGCCTTAAAGTTCAGGATGTTAACATGGTTAACTGGTTTGGCATTAACATGCATTTACTTCTGTCAGAGAAAAGTTTGTTCTCTATAAGATGTTTGCAGTGGCCAGAGACTCTGTTCTGTTCATTTGATCACTAATTATTTAAGAAGTTAAAAATATGTATTTGTTTGATTTTTCTGTTTGTATCATTTTTTGTTCTTGTCCACCAAAGATAGAGCCGTCAGATAATGGATTTTCTTAAGACTTATTTTGAGTTATATTTTTCTGAAATAACAAAACATGACGCTGTTTACTTACACACACCTTGCCTCAACATGCTCCGTGTTGTATTGTTGTGATCAGTCATGTTGTCTTTCCTGAGGTAAGGGAGTGAACGGACTGTAAAAGTCCAGTTTCCACCCTTGCCGAACTAAACCGGAATCTCTGGGTTCTATCTTCATGATCTTAGCGCCAGCAGTGGCTATTACCAGTTAATTCCCTTATATGTCCCGCCTATTGACCAATCAAATTCTCCTTCTAATATCAATTGCATTTGTAACAAACAAAATGGCGCACCCAGTCAAGACAATCTGATCAATAATCAAGATCTATATTGTAATAATACACTTTGCAAAGTGCATCAAGTCACATAAAGATAAGGAAAATATCTGTTGACACGAAGTTGACAAAACACATGTGAAAAATCTTCACAGCAGTTTACGAACCAGATGTTGACTTCGTTAGTCGATTTGTATTGGACTATGCATGGACTCATTAATCCAGCCAAATTATGACTCCATAATTCCTGCCTATGAAAAGGGTGGAACCTGGGCTTTTATAGTCAGTTAACTCCCTTGCCTCGGTTGCCGTAAAAGGCGACTGTGCTTGTCGTAAAAGGCGACTTACGGGATCGGTTGGTCAGGCTCGCTGACTTGGTTGATGCATGTCATCGATCCCAATTGCGTGGATTGATGCTCATGATGTCAATCACTGGATTGTCTAGTCCAGACTCGATTATTTACAGACCACCATCATAAAGCTGGAATATTGCTAAGTGCGGCGTTAAAAAACAAACAACAACAACAACCCTTGCCTCGGGAATATGTCATGTTGTTTGGTGGGGCACATGGTCCTGTGGACAGCATCAGGTGAAGTTGAGCAATGTTGGTTGCGTAGCACATGTTGGTGTCTCCTTAGGCATGTGACTTTGTTTGAAATTTGCAGCCCTTTGTCTTGTGAACACAATGTGTGAAGAGATTTGAGTATAATCAGGGAATTATCTACACATTCACAGAGGCCGATATCAGGCCCGAAGTCTGCAGTAAATGTCAATTGAAATTCCTAATTAGAATTAAATAGTTACCAATTCACGTTAATATACTTAAAGTTATGGATTTGTCAAGGTGCATGTATTTTACCAATGAAGAGGAATTGAGTCTGATGTGGTGTCTCCTTAGGCAGGGAAGGGGTCCCTAGTAGGATACATTGTAGCATAACTGTTAACCTTCTAGTGCCTCACAGGCAGCATAGGTTGTATAATCCCCAGGGAGCTGAGAATGAAAATTGATAATAATGTATTTTGAGCATGGTTTAGGGTGTGGATTAGGTGCATTATCAATATGTACATTATTACAATTTGCCCTGTCCTAGATCCCACTGTTGTAAGTGTTAACTGTGCTTCAGATCTACGACATGGATGCCGAGAGGTGGACGTCCCAGTTCCATGACATGCAGGAGTCAGAAGGACCTGTAGAGAACGGCAACTGATGAGGTGATGGAGTGCGATATCAGGGAAGCAAAGCTCATGTGAAAAGGCTGAAATTGACACAAGTATGAGATTATTGAACCACGACACGTGTGTGAGATGTGTGTACTAGATGTGTGTGACATCAGGAGACCAGGCAGGACTAGACAGCGGTGTGACATCAGGGAGGCTAAACGACATTGTAGACAGTGTAGAACGAACATATGAGACCACTGTTACAAGACACATGTGAGATGTGTTTAGGATTCAGACACACATGTGAGGTGATCAGTACAAGACACACGTGTGATCACAGAGACTTAGCACATGTGAATGATCGATACCCGACACATGTTTGATCACAGAGACTTAGCACATGTGAATGCTCGATACCGGACACATGTGTGATCACAGAGACTTAACACACCTGAAGTGATTGATGCCGGACACATGTGACATCCCAGAGACTTAACACACCTGAAGTGATCGATACCTGACACATGTGTGATCACAGAGACTTAGCACATGTGAATGATCGATACCTGACACATGTGTGATCACAGAGACTTAGCACATGCGAATGATCGATACCTGACACATGTGTGATCACAGAGACTTAGCACATGTGAATGATCGATACCTGACACATGTGTGATCACAGAGACTTAGCACATGTGAATGATCGATACTGGACACATGTTTGATCACAGAGACTAAGCACATGTAAATGATCGATACCGGACACATGTGAGATCACAGAGACTTAACACATGTGAATGATCGATACCTGACCCGTGTGAGATCACAGAGACTTAGAACATGTGAATGATCGATACCGGACACATGTGTGATCACAGAGACTTAGCACATGTGAATGATCGATACCGGACACATGTGAAATCCTAGAGAATAGACACATGTGAGCGCTCAGAGACTAAACATATATGTGAGGTGATCAATACTAGACACATGTGAGAACACAGAGACTAGACATGTGTGTGAGATCCTGTGACTAGACTTGCCTGTTAGATAGTATAGACTGGACACAAGTGTGTGAGATCCTGTGACTAGACTTGCCTGTTAGATAGTATAGACTCCATGGACACAAGTGTGAGTTCCCGGAGACCAGTCAAGTGATTGAGAATAGTGGAGACCTCACGTGATCTCATGAAGAATGGAAATATGTGGAATGCAGACTCTTGTCAAACAGTGGGGATCAGTCACTGCCTTAACAGGTGTTACAGTGCTAAAGACACACATGAGCAATGCAGGGATGATGATGATGTCGGGTGATGCTTCCCAGGTCATTCTTAGAGAATCTGTTTCTTGTGCCAATTGTAACAGTCTGTGCCTGTGTATAAATACATACAGTCTTTTTAGTATCATTTTGTCTGCTGTGCAAGTTCTGACACTGATTAGGAGATAAACATGCATCTGTGATATGATGAAAACAGTCCAGCTGATGTTCCCAGGGACATCTCGGTAGCCTTGTGGTCTCTCCTTCATCATGGTGTCTGAGTGTAAAGGTTCAAGGTGATGCCAAGGAGATAAACATGCATCTGTAGTCTGATGAGAACAGTCCAGCTGATGTTCCCAGGGACATCTCGGTAACCTTGTGGTCTCTCCTTCATCATGGTGTCTGAGTGTAAAGGTTCCAGGTGATGCCAAGGAGATAAACATGCATCTGTAGTCTGATGAGAACAGTCCAGCTGATGTTCCCAGGGACATCTCGGTAACCTTGTGGTCTCTCCTTCATCATGGTGTCTGAGTGTAAAGGTTCAAGGTGATGCCAAGGAGATAAACATGCATCTGTAGTCTGATGAGAACAGTCCAGCTGATGTTCCCAGGGACATCTCGGTAACCTTGTGGTCTCTCCTTCATCATGGTGTCTGAGTGTAAAGGTTCCAGGTGATGCCAAGGAGATAAACATGCATCTGTAGTCTGATGAGAACAGTCCAGCTGATGTTCCCAGGGACATCTCGGTAACCTTGTGGTCTCTCCTTCATCATGGTGTCTGAGTGTAAAGGTTCAAGGTGATGCCAAGGAGATAAACATGCATCTGTAGTCTGATGAGAACAGTCCAGCTGATGTTCCCAGGGACATCTCGGTAACCTTGTGGTCTCTCCTTCATCATGGTATCTGAGTGTAAGGAGTCAAGGTGATGCCAGTATGGTTGATGCTGTCGCATATTTGACATGCTAGAACTGTCCTAGCTCTCATCAAGTCATTATCTCACATCTCTTTTATTGATCATTCATTGTTCAGTATGAGTTTGTTAACAAAATCAATCACCATTAAAAACTGAAATGAGGGATAAAAGAAAACCTTAATTAACACACCGGTTGGTATGCTCTTCAACTTTCGTTGCAAATATTTTTCTGTGTGAGCAAATTGATGGCGTCTGCTGACTCAAGTGTCAAATCATCACTACCAATGCTAAATACAATGCCAAAGCAGACCAAGTTTCAATAGGAAGTTAGTTTAAGAGTTTAATTTAGAAACAAAATAATCCACCACCCAGATAAAATATTGGGACAGATATTGTTTACCAACTAATGAAAGTAATTCATTTAACTACCACCAGACTGTATTCATAGAGATCCATATCTTCATAGAAGGTGACAATGCTTGTCATAAGAGGCGACTAACGGATGGGGTGGTCAGGCTCGCAGACTTGGTTGATGCCTGTCATCGTATCCCACTTGTGTGGATCGATGCTTATGACATCAATCACTGAATTGTCTGGTCCTGATTCGCTTATTTACAGACCGCCGTCAAATAGCTGGAATATTGCTGAGTGCATCGTCAAACAACAAACAAATAAACAAACAAAATGTTACAGAACAAAACATGTTAAACATCATGTTTGTATTTAATATAAATATAAACCAAAATTTGTATGTAGTTGTATCATCAGGACGCCATGGGCGTTGCCTCAGGATGATTTTTCACAATATGTTTCCTGCATACAAATAATGGTTGTTACATTTTGAATGAAAACACAGTCATTTGGTAACTTTTGACTATCATCATTTGTGATCATCCTTGATGTATTGTTGGTTTATATAAAATATTCATAGAACTGTTGACCGTGTTTGTCAAGAATATATCAAATTGTACAGTTGAAACAAATGATGTGCAGAGAGCAGCCAAAGCTGTATACAGTGGACACCGACATACACTGGTGGCAAAAGTAGCAAGGCTTGCTTACTTAGTTTATGCAGGTCATTGTATTCCATTTGCACGGATCGATGTTCATGATGTCAATCATTGGATTGTCTGGTCCAGACTCGATTATTTACAGACCGCTCATATAGCTGAAATATTGCTGAGTGCGGCGTTAAACATCAAACCATTAAAAGCCAACGTGTGCTTGTCAAAATGGGTGATAACTGCCCTCTGCAAGATTCGGGCTGATATCGAGGTCTGGTCAGATAAACCTGCAGTGATCAAGTCAAGTTTACAATTGAATGGAACACATCCCATACAATTACCAATTCCCCCACCATTAGGATTAGTCTCTAGAATGTTGTGTGCAGCAATTGCTGTATTAGCCTGCCTCCAGACACCGTGTACGTCCGCCTACCATGTGTAAAAGAAACGGACTTTCATCAGAAAGATGGACTCGCCGCCATGATGCAGTATGCAAGTTCAGACTTGATTAGACCATACCACACAAGCCGCTTTATGGGCATGAGTAAACAAGGGACGTTTGATTGGTCTTCTGACTATGTATCCACCTGTTTGCAGACGGTTCTGGTTGAAATAGCTGTGCCTTTAATACTGTACTGTTGTCAAATGGACGCCGTCTAGTGAGCCTTAATAATACTGCATTTTCTCTCCTGGATGCCTTACGAGGCTGACTAGGGCGTGGCCTATCCTTACCTTTTTTGTTGTTCGGTATTTCTGCACTAATCATGTAATTGCAGTATGGGACGTCCAGTTTCCCTACAAGACATTCCTGCATATATTTTTTTCATTAATCTGCCATTTTAATGCTTCAGACAATCTACCACGTGCCATGATATTGCTTTGTAATGAGCTTGCAGCCTGTGGTGAGAATTGTGTGCCTGCAATGTTCAAGACCATTATGTGTTTTTAGATTTTCCGTGGGTATTGTGCTTCACGTGCAGTATGTGCAACATCAAGCGCGTTGACAGCGGTATTGGCGATGGTATGGTGTGGGGAACGGGCCATAATATCTAATGTATGGACAACTTAATCATTTTCAAAACATTCATTGGAATAGATAGTGATTAAGACAATCCAATGTTCATCTATTCAATGGTCAAGGGGTGATTCATCCAAACTCGATAGAATGGCAATACACTGTTCAGTGGTCAACGGGTGATTCGTCCAAACCCGATAGATTGTCAATACACTGTTCAGTGGTCAACGGGTGATTCGTCCAAACCCGACAGATTGGCAATACACTGTTCAGTAGTCAAAGGGTGATTCATCCTACCCGATAGATGCTCAATACACTGTTCAGTTGTCAAGGGGTGATTCGTCCAAACCCGATAGCTTGGCAATACACTGTTCAGTGGTCAAGGGGTGATTCGTTCAAACCTCGATAGCTTGACAATACACTGTTCAGTAGTCAAGGGGTGATTCGTCAAACCTCGATAGCTTGACAATACACTGTTCAGTAGTCAAAGGGTGATTCGTTCAAACCCAATAGCTTGGCAATACACTGTTCAATGGTCAAGGGGTGATTCGTTCAAACTCGATCGTTTGGCAATACACTGTTCAGTGGTCAAGGGGTGATTCGTTCAAACCTCGATAGCTTGACAATACACTGTTCAGTAGTCAAGGGGTGATTCGTTCAAACCCAATAGCTTGGCAATAATCTGTTCAGTGGTCAAGGGGTGATTCGTTCAAACTCGATCGCTTGACAATACACTGTTCAGTGGTCAAGGGGTGATTCGTCAAACCTCGATAGCTTGGCAATACTCTGTTCAGTAGTCAAGGGGTGATTCGTTCAAACCTCGATAGCTTGGCAATACACTGTTCAGTAGTCAAGGGGTGATTCGTTCAAACCCGATAGCTTGGCAATACACTGTTCAGTGGTCAAGGGGTGATTCGTTCAAACTCGATCGCTTGGCAGTACACTGTTCAGTGGTCAAGGGGTAGTTCGTCAAACCTCGATAGCTTGACAATACACTGTTCTGTGATCAAGGGCTGATTCGTCAAAACTCAATAGATTCATTAGCAATACACTGTTCAATGGTCAAGGGGTTGTCTGTCTCTAAAACGACACTTATCATCAGTAAAGACTCAAATTCAAATTCAAAATTTCATTCTCAGTTGAGATGTCGGTAAAACGAATTGAATACATTGTAGCCTTTACTTACTTAGTCTCCAAGAAACACTTTTTAGTTGAATGTCTCCTTTCTGCCAAGCGTTCTGTAATATTTGCATGAAGTGGGCAAGTGTTTCGCAGGTCTGATACTGACAATACCCTGGCCTACTGACGGTCCCAAGTACATTGCGAAGGTATCATTTACTAATGGAATATTGACAAATCTATATAAATATGTGTGTGCCAAAGGTAATTACTTTTGTATAATAGCCCAGGATTTATTATACTTATTGTTCAGAGCGGAACAAAGACATAAAAAAATAGGTATGACCTGATTAATAAGAATATATGAAAGTGAGTGAATGTTGTTAAAGAACTACAGTCAGCAATATATAACTGTTTCGTGGGCGATCAAGTCGAGTTGTAGACTTAAAAACCAGGAGCAAAGATCAGCAGACATTTAATATTAACTCGATCCTCTGCGGATTATTGGATGGGCGGCTTGGAACACGGTAATTTTTGTGGCTTGCAATTTCTTCCTTTTTTTCAAAAGTCTAAAGCATAAATATGTTTTGAAAGAATATTCGGGGACATTTTATTTTCGATAAAATCCAAATTTTTAATTCAGCTTTGAATTTCTGTGGGAATCACAATTTGTACACCATAAAGAATGTTTTGGAGAATTTTGAAACGTTAATTCGAGCGAGATTGGCAATCATTTCTCTTCAATGTCTCATAAGAAATGGTACTGTTTAAAAAATGTATTCGGAACCACTCTCCTACCCAAAGTTCCTTGCGGTCAACCTAGCACCTATATATGCCACAGGCCAGCGAGATGTGATTTCTCACTGTCGCCGTTTTAGTAGCATTATTGTGCAAAACAATCCATGATACACACTTCTTTGAGGTTTCCATATGTCAATCTGAATATACGAGTTTGTTTACAAACAAGAGAAAAGTCCGATCATGTGATATGCAAATTAGCTTGCTGCAGTGGTGTAAAGTCCTCACTGCGCCGGAGTGTGATTCGGAACAGAATTGTATTTAAAGAAGATTCCAATTTCAACATTTCG